CTAATACGTTTGTTACAACTCCGTTCATTTGAAGATAATTTACAGTTGTAATTAATCCGCACTCTCACTTGACGATAAAAACTCAAATCCCAGAAAGCAGCTGAGATGACTTGCCTTTTGATTAAAGCAGTGTTCAAATATCAATCAAGTAAGCAATAAAAGTCTTGCACACTTAAAATTAGAACAAGCAAATGTTCCGGTCAGTGAAATGCCCCAATATACAGGCAGACAAACCACACAAGTAAAAAAATGCTCTGGTGCTTGTCCTTGAATGACCAAAGAATGGCAAAAAAACGTCCAGTACTACAACAAATGAGAGTGAGAGTAAATACTGTGAGTGAATCCATCTGTGTGTGTGTAAGGTGCAGAAGACCGGTCAGAACTTGTTCTGTTTTAGCTTGTCAATGTGGTAGCAGAGCTTGAGAGCCGGGCCCAGTTTGAGTCCCAGGTACTTCATGATCATGTCACTCTTCAGGAGAAGAAGAGCATCCCCATCAATCTCCTGAAGAAGTAATCACAATGTCCACAACAGAATGCTTACTGTACATATGAAACAACGTTTTACTGCGTTTAACAATTGAGGATATTAGAACATTCAGAGTTGGAAAAACATGCACAAAAATCAGCCCAAAAACTGCATTAGATTTAACAGTTTTGAACGTTGACGAACTACATAATGTGAAGCTGAAGTGAACCTGCAGGCTTTCCAATTACAATTCACATGACAAACCACCAAACCGAGAGCACATACTGAGATGGACGTATTTCCATAATTAATTAAATCACAGCCTTTTTTGCACTTTAATTGTGCGGCCATATTTGGAAGAGTGAAATTCAATTTCATTAGATGGTTTTAAATTGTTCTTTGCTTTTTGTTCTGTTTTTAATAAGCAATATTCAGAGATTTGAAATCTTTTCCATTTAACATTCAGCTCAGGTGGTTATATCAACAATTATGTGAACTTGAAATGATTGTGAAAACTTGAGTTGTAAAGCACACAGCTGATCATATCTGGTTTTCTAACTTGAAACTAACCTAATGCTACCCACACAGGGATTTGTTATCTGATAACATGTTCAACACATGGTGTTTGTTTGCCACTTGTAAATAAATGTGTCAGTCAAACTCACATGTTTTCGGAAGAGATCCACGTGAGGGCCCAGCGCTTGAGGATCTGCATCTTTGATAAACCACACCACCTCATCCACGCTCCACCTGGATGGATCCTTACTGGGTGGGGGCTTCGCCTCCCCTCCATCTGGGGATGGACTGTAGGCTAGATAGAGAGAAATCAGATTCAGACAGGGCTAGGATTATTATTCTTGGTTGAAGCTAGACATATTGGTAACACGTTCTATGAAACCTGTATTTACAATGCATTTTAAGGGTATTCTTAATGCTTTATAATACAAGCATAATGCCTTACAAACAACCTTATAATATGTTATAAATTTTAAGGGTACAAACACATAAGTTTTTTTTTTAATAAGGCAAAATGTGTGCCTTATAATGCATTAAGAATTCCAGTTTGATGCATTACAAATACAGACTTTATCTGGTGTAATAATGCATTATACTCTTAAAGTTATAACCAAAAATAGCTAACTATTTTAATGTATTGTTGTAACTATTGTAATGGTTATTTATCAGATGATACAACACATTATATAAAGTTGTTTATAAGACATTATGCATGCATTATAATGCATTAAGTAAACCCTTATAATGCATTAAAAATTCAGGCTTCATAGGAAGTGTTACCAAAATCATATATGCAGTATATGTGGTTATCAATCTTTTTGACTCCAAGGCCCTCACTGACCACAACCATTTTTGAAGGCCCCAATGAGTTTTCCAGTTGTTTGTGATTCACTATATAAGTGAATATCCTAATAAGGAGTTATATATACTATATGTATGTAATGTCACAATTTTTACCCATAAATTATTTTAGAGCTTAGCATAATTAGAAAACCATTTCCTGGTCTAGAAATCACACTTTAAAATAAAAATTTCCAAGAAACTGGTTCTTCTAAGACAAAAAAAAAAAAAGAAAAAAAGAAGAAGAAATATCTGGATTTTATGTTGTTTAAATTTTAAGTCATCTTGAGACCTCCTAATGGGCTCCAAACCTCCCTTACTTGAGAACAATTGGTACTATATATACTATTTAGTTTTCAGTTTTTTTGATTAACTCTTGGTATCTTCTCACATACATCTCATTTGATTAACATGGTTTTAAAGTAGTGCAGAAACTCTTTTGCTGCTTTATTCTATAAGTGTTAATTTTCTCTTTCTTACCACTTCTGTTTCCTTCCTGGAATGTGCTGGGACTGGCTGCCTGCCTGCACACACCTCCAGAGTAGACGGGGCCAGAACGAAAACCATATGCAGGTTTACTCGCCGTGTACGGTGAGGACATCGCTCCAAAAGCAGAGTCGCTGGGGTCAACAGAATAGCGCTTGGGGTCCATTGAATCTCCATGGTAATCATCCACCATCGAGTCTGCTGCACAAAAAGGAAAGCAATTTAGGGAAAATAATGCATGTTAAGCATGCATGTCATTTGGCTCAGGATAATTATTGCTTTCTTGAGTGCAGATTGGCCCATATGGATTCATCCAAACCAAATTATATACAAATGCTATGCAAATTTTATGTTTTTCTGCATTAAAAAGCAAACATACAAAATGACTAGTGTAGTCTGATTCACGAAAGTGTAAATCATAATTCATTAAGAAATTCATTATTTTAATGAATTACATAAATGCAGTTATGAGATTAAATTAGTCTGATGAATTCTTCAATAAATAAACTTTCTGAATTCTTTGTCATGTCTGACTAATATATATATAATATATATATATTTAAACTTGAAGAATTAAATTATTAAATAGTACATATATATATATATATATATATATATACACACACATATATATGAAGAGTTCAGATGCAAAAGCCTCTAAATGCCATTTGAAATTTTCTTCAAGAATGTTAATTTTTATCAAGCTTGTATATTTAAATTCAGTAATTTCACTTAAATGGCAATGAAGATTACCTATGAATTGCCATTTAAGTGAAATTACTGAATTTAAATATACAAGCTTGATAAAAATGATTATTCTAGAAGAGAATTTCAAATGGCACTTAGATGCTTTTGCATCTGAACTCTTCATATATGTATAGGAAGTATAGGTAGCTGCAAACACTGCCATCTGTGGGAAACACTGATAAACATACAGTGTTGACGAGTATGTAGGCTCTCCTCTCTTAACCACGTTAACCATTGACATGGGATTAAGTCACAACACAGCCTTTGCCTATGTAGCTGAGCGGTGTGATATTGTGTCATACTGAAGTTAATGCTCTAATCTCTAGAGCTCCCAAACCACATTCACAGGGGGAAAAGAAAGATAGAGAGAGAGAGAGAGAGAGAGAGAGAGAGAGAGAGAGAGAGAGAGAGAGAGAGAGAGGTGGAGCCAGCAGAACTCAAACACTCAAACCACAGGCCACTCACAGAGGCACTCAACCTTTCACTGCCACTTAAACAGCTCAGCTTGCACTAAAGGCCTCCTCTGCATTTTCAGAAGGTCAAATTTGGACAGAGCCAGAAAAGAGTGCAAATCCAATCAAACAGCCAAATTACAAAACATCCAAACCAAAAAAAGACAAAACCAAAAATTGTCTAATATAGAAAACTTTACTTCAACCATGCAGGCTGTGTAGATAGATGGAAATACAGCTATAGTATTTAAAAAAAAGGATAGAATAACAAAGCTTGATGAGCACGCACTTGACTTGGGCTGTCCGTCTGAGTGCTTTTCAGTGTGGAATGAGGAAGAGGACGAGGGGGACGATGAAGGAGCGATGGGCTGGTCACTGAAGAGGTTCTCACACATCAGGCTTCGGCACAACTTCTTAAGGAAGCGTAGAACATAACCTACACTGTTGACCACTGGCAAACTCAACAGATGCTGTTTACCATCAAAGGTGGCTGATGAAGACAAAGAAAGAGTGTTTAAATTCAAGTAAATTGCACACAGTTGTAAATACCGTTACAGTAAAGGTCCTTGCACACTGAGTCTGAAATTCTCAACCTCACGTCAATCATGTTTACATACTGTAGTGTGCAACAGTAGTGCATATATGTATTTACAGTAGACATGAGAATCAGAATGGAGGCACGCATTAGGGTGGCTATGCAAATGAACCTGAGATCTTTTCTCCTCCGTAGCCCTCTGTAAGCAAGGTGAAGACAGCTTTCTGTTGAAACGCGCTGTCGATGCAGCCCTGCACCGCCTGCTGGAGCACCACAGAGGGCCTGGCGGGACCCAAGTGATCCGGCAGCTGCAGCACCTTCTGCCTGTCCAGGTTAGGACCCGTGTTCACCTGCTTATTCACGTAGATACACACTGGAATAAAATGGACAGAGAGAGAAAGAGAGAGATTTTAAAATTAGCAATATCTGCTTTAAGCATTCATTTTTAACGGAATAAGCACAATATGAAACTACTGTATTTGCAATTTTTTTTTCTCAGTTCATGTTATGATCTGACTAGGTCTTGGAATGCTAATGGAGGGTAATTCGTTGGTTTTGTTCTGCTCTTGCTTTTGAGATTGTTTTGTATTATGTACTGAAAATATAAGGTTATACTACTGCTTAAAGGAATAGTTTACTTAAAAATGAAAATTCTGTCATCATTTACTCACCCTCAAGTTGTTGAGCAACATGTTGGTAACCAGACAGTGGATGTACCCCATTGACTTCCACAGTAGGAAATACTATGGAAGTTAATGAGGTCCATCAACTATTTGGTTACCGAAATTCTTCAAAATATCTTTAGTGTTCAGCAGAAGAAAGAAATTCATACAGGTTTAAAACAACTTGAGGGCGAGTAAATTAAATGACAGAATTTTCATTTTTAATTGCACCATTTCTTTAAGTTAATAAGTCATTTTTAAAGCAAAGCAAAAATTAATAGCACTAACAACATCACCACAGTATTCAAAAAATGAATCCATGATCTATAAAGACAATGCCTACATGTAATTATACAACATTCACATACATATTGGCACACAGTGCATGTCTTCCTTATTGACACTACAAAATGGCTTGTGATATTTGTCAAGGAATCTTCAAACATTTGAGGCCACATTTATAGATTATCGTCATGAGACCCAAGAGACGAGCAATAAAAGACTATATACTCTCAATCTTGTGCTTCAATCTCGTTTAAGTAATAGCAAAGGAATTAAACCTATGTACTATTCTTAAAATAATGCCACTAAACTAAATCACATACTGTAAATCACACGTAAAAGGCATCTGCGGTTTTATGAGCCAACCAGAGCCAATAATGTTTTGATTACCCTAAATAAAAAAGAAACATTTCCATTTCTATACATTTATTTATCCCAAGTGACTTGCAAACTAGGAAAAATACAGGCATGAGCATTTAATATCAACAAAAACAATACAGGTCAAAAATAAAAAGAGAGTAAGAGAGAGAGTGTGTGTGTGTGTGTGTGTGTGTGGGAATCCACCAATCACTCGTCCCCCTCCCATTTCCACCCACACAATCTGTCCCCACTGACTTCCCTCGCTCGTCTGCAGCATAAGGATGCTTTAATCTGACAGACTGCCATGCTAAGGGATTTCCTTCGTCGTCTGTCATCTAGAAGCACCATGACCAGGAGTCAGACACAGACACACACCTAAAATAATCTCAAGAAGAAGCCTGTGCTGTGTTTGATAATGTGTAACAGGATAAAGTCAATGAACAGCAAGTGTACAGAGTACAGAGATAACACACAAAGCCTTAAAATAGATAACCAATAGCAAGATTACCGACATGCCAGACATGTAGGCTTACAGACAGAGAAAATTTACCACACTATTGAAAGGCAATATAATTTAATTGCAAGCAGTCATATACAAACGCGTTTTCCAAATAAAACAAAACACCAAAGCAGTTAACAATGACCTGAGGTCATTAAGGTCATGACCCCCACAACAACTCCCTCGGTATCACCCACACAGACATCCCTCACATCGGAACGCAGGTTTCCGAGCACCGAGGTACTTTGTCAAACTTCTTAAAAGAATTGAGGACAAAATGCTGGTGTCAAACATTTCACAAAGGCATGAATCTGAACAAAATGAACATGGTTGTTGAAATATAGGAGAGGGACCAAAAGAGAGCATGACTTTTCCATTGCAAAAAGAATTAAAGTCTAGAAACCTGGTGGGCAGACAAAAGCCTCTTGTTCAGCAACTGCTCCCTACAGCAAACGGATTAAGCTTTAAGAACTCAAGATGGAGTTCAGCCATACCGTCACAACTTCTCATGTTTAAAGTAGACCTTGAACAGCATTGAGATGCAGTCTTAATTCATTTTGAATGGCAGAATTGAAAGTTTACATGCTAAAGTTGTGATGTGAATTAATTCTAAGCTCATATTTTAAAAATAGTATGTTTAAAAAGGCAATATAGCAGAACAGAACTGATCTCTCCATTGTAATGAAGAGATAAATTGGATGATAATGCATCTAAGGCTAGAGCCGTCAGGTTCCTCAATAATGTCCCTTGAGACTTTCACACCTATTAACCTTTGAAATAAGAGATGTAACTACTCTTTTCTCTCAGATCCCTTTCCTTCTAGTCATGGATGTTATTGCCGAATTAGATGGGCCGACCATATGGACTGAGGGGCCCTGACCCCAAAGATTAAGTGTGTCTGTGCCGTATGAAATCTTTACTTGCTACATTCACACATACTGAGTTCAGGATTGACAGATCTATTTTTAAGTCTTATCACAAATGACACAACAATGGTTGCATGCTTCATTTGTACTTGCATTCATTTTTATATGTTACAAAATATTTCTATTCCAAATAAATGCTGTTGTTTTGAACTCCCTATTCATTAAAGTATCCTGAAAAAAAAAAACGACCACAATTCCAAAAATACAATTTTCACAAAAATATTAAACAGCTGTTTTTTAACATTAATACTGATAAGAAATGTTTCTTGAGCACCAAATTATAGCATATTAAAGGGATAGTACACTCAAAAATGAAAATTGAAACGCCATCATAGGTTTAAATGACATTCTTCTCTCAGACGAATACAATCTGAGTTATATTAAAAATTGTCCTGGCTCTTCCAAGCTTGATAATGGGAGTGAATGACTGGATGACTTTGGAAGTCCATACACAAGTTACGTCTGTCTGCCAGAAGCCAGTTATTTTAGTCAATAAAGTTTTAAATATGGACATTTTTCTTACACGGACGCATCGCTTCACTTCAGATGGAGCTCTTTAATCATGAATAGATACGCTTTGATGGACTTCCAAAGACAGACAGCCATTCACTGCCAGTATAAAGCTTGGAAGAGCCAGGACAATTTTTATATAACTCTGTTTGTATTCATCTTAATGAAGTAAGTCATACAAACCTAGGATGGCTTCAGGGTGAGTAAATCATGGGCTAATTATCATTTTTGGCTGAACTATCCCTTTAAGCTCTGCCATGACAGGAATAAATCACATTTTAAAAAAATCTTACAATCCATTGACATCTTCATAATTTTCCATTGGAAGAGATGTTGCCTATTTGGATAGCTCCCCAAAACATGAGAATTCTGTCATAATTTACTCACCCTCAATTTGTCCCAAATATGTATGTTGAACACAAAAGAAAATATTTTGAATGTCGGATGAACCACATTGACTCTTTTTCCATACTATGGAAGTCAATGGGGTCCATCAACTGTTTGATTAAACATATTCATCAAAATCTTCTTTTGTGTTCAGCAGAAAAAATAAATGTATATAGGTTTGGAACAACTTGATGGAGAGTAAATGATGACAAAATTTTCATTTTTGAAAAACTATCACTTTCAATAACAGATAAGGAAAAATATCTGGTCTTGTTATAAAGACAGTGTTGGTGGTCTTCTCTCACCCCTGAGACGCACATCCCATCATATAATTTTGATAAAAAATAACAGTTATCATATTTCCGATAGAGTTACAGTCCCTACTGGGCACTAAAAAAAGAATGAGATGGCCGAGAGTCATAATATGACTCCTCTGAGGACAGTGATTCTTCTAATGCTCACATTTTATTATTCCCTTAATAGTTAGGCCTGGTTACTAGTTTCTGGGATTGGCATGGCAATACTTCAGACTGCAGATAGTGGAACTGGTAGTCTACGAATGTGTGTGTTTGTTACCTGTGAGGACCTGCGGGGTGGCAGAGTGGGGGATAGTAGCTGCGTCCTGGGGGATTGAGCTCATGTCTGGCTCTGGGGTGCTGCTGGGAGGAGAGATAGCCAGGGGAGTCATCAAGCGAGACTTCAGCTGAAAAAAATATATATTTATATTAGTATTATCATTATATATAGACCATTTCACAAGATGTAAACAACACTGGTCCAGAAACACTTCCTGTTTCTGTTTGTAACCGTTTTCTTTATTTCACATGTAAAGAAAACATCTTAAAGATGTTTGTTTAACATTTTGATTCAGTTTTAAATGTTCTGTTGGTTGTATTTTATCCCAGCTTTTATGTAGTGTTAAAAAACTGAAACAGGAAGTGCTTCTGGACCAGCGTTGTTTACATCTTGTGAAATGGTCTATAACTGATTCATAAAAATATATGAAGATATTTATTAAACATATATTTATGCTATGTCATTTTTATATTATGTTTTATAACAACTACAAATACAATAAGGTAAACAATAACAAACTATATCTGAAATACACTGATGAGCCAAAACTTTATGATCAGTCACAAGTGAATATCATTGATCATTTCCTAACAGGCCCACTTATTAATGTCTAGGTAGATTAGATGGGAAGCAAACAATCAGTTCTCATAATCGATGTGTTGGATTGGATGCAGGAGAAATGGACAGGAAGAGAGATCTAAGCGACTTTAACGAGGGCCAAATGATGACACAATTGAATTTTATATCAGTAAATTTACTTTACTGCATCCTAGCTCAAAATATAGGATCAAAAATGCTATAATAAAGGTGCCATTGGTGATTATACACAGAAACATTTTTTGTTATGCTGGTTGAAAGTCTCCTCATATCCTGATAGCAATCACTCTGTTAAATGGTCTAAATGTATTTGTATAAATATATGTCGTCTGTGCAAGGCGTAGGACCATAAAATGTTCGTTCAATCGTTGTGTTCGGTCCAGGGCCGAATTTTAGCCCCAGTCCAGCCCTGCCACAGGACAACTTCAAGGGTCTTGCAAAAGTCCATGCCTCGGCAGGTCGGCGCTGTTTTGGCAGCACGCACAAGACCAACAGCATATTAGACAGGTGGTCATAATGTTTCAGCTCATCAGAGTATATCCAATAGAAAATTTCTTTTTTTTATTTAAAAGTTTTGCAAGGATGTTTACTGCAAATCTCCTAACATGCACACACATTGTGGTAGTGTGTAGCTCTTTAAATCAGCAGCAGAGACATTATGAGGCCTGTGCTTAGACACACGGCTAAAAATAACTCAGCAGCAGCAGACTGCAGATACATCAGTCAAAGAACAACCACCTTGTCCCCTCCCTCTCTCACAGTCAACATCAGATGGGCCTACCTATATACAAACACACAAGACATTACTATGCTCCTCTAGCTAAATAATTTCACAATAAGTGTTACACACGCACCAGTATGTATTTAACTGCACCACTTGATGACAATTATGCAACTGGCAGACACTTTTGAACTATGGAAAGACCTATCTTTGTGGCCTACTTAAATGAACACACAAACACTCTGATATTTACTGACCTTAAAGCCAGGCTTCCTTCCTCTTTTCTTAGGCACTTTAATGGGTGGAAGGGATTCTGGATAGCGACTCTGGTATTCCGGGTGCCTCTTCAGGGGTGGACGACCCCTCTTGCGACCTGGAACTTTTCCACTTGGGGGCGGGAGGAATGAAGGGCTAATGGCCCCAGGTGATTGCATCTCTCCACCTCCTGACTGAACTGATGCAGCAGCAGGAATACTCATCAGACCTGAGAGAACACCACAATGTCAATGTCAGAATGCTGAACTGCATTTACAGTGATATTTAATCATTTTTAATACTGTATGCTGAATATTTGTCTTGATTGAATGTAAAAATACTGATATGTGTATTGTTTCAACTGCATAATGTGATGGAGATTTTCCTTTTAAAAATACTAAAGTACACATGTCTACTATGTGAACTTTCTGGTTTGAGTTTATTGGATAATTCAAAGTTATAAACAGCAACAAAGACACAAACCACAACTTTTGTAATTCCGAACCATCAATTCATCTTGCAACTCTCCAACTCACTCACCAACTACAACAAGCACACACAAATATGTGTAGTCAGTAAGAAATTTTGGGCTCCCAGACCTTTTGACCAATGTATTTCCATGACTTTTCATTCGTCAGTCATTCGTGATTACTGGATAATTTTAGTAATCTGAAAGAAAAAAAATAATAATATAATATAGCAATTTTAGCTGATGAAAATTTTGAAAAGAATAGACATCAATAAATCAAAAATAGTCAAAGAAAAAAAATGGCAGTATTTTATTTTACAGTCCTGTCCCGCTTGTACATACTATATATAAATAATAAATAGGTACTACTAACCCTGAGCCTACCTAACCTAACATTAAAGGAATAGTTCACTTCAAAATGAAAATTCTGTCATTATTTACTCGCCCTCAAGTTGTTTCAAACCTGTATGAATTTCTTTCTTCTGCTGAACACTAACGAAGATATTTTGAAGAATGTCGGTAACAGAACAATTGATGGAACCCATTGACTTCCATAGTTTTTCCTACTATGGAAGTCAATGGAGTACATCAACTGTCTGGTTGCCAACATTCTTCAAAATATCTTTTCATGTCTAGAAATCAAAATTTTATAAATATGTAAATATGATTCCCTATATTATAGGTTTTCGATGACCATGAGAACCCTGCAATTTCCATTTAACTTAATTCACAGAAAATAAACATCAAACCAAAAACAGTTTGTTTCAAAGCTTTAGCACATTCATTTTGAGAAAGCAAATCTAACACTAGAAGTTTAACTCAAACACATGACCAACACTGCAAATTCTAGTTACACTCAACACTTGTAAAAATAAATAATAAAAATGAAGGGAAAAAAAAACATGTTCTGACCATAATTACACAAAGGAATTTTTATATTCATTGGATATAGATAGCGGAAAAACGTAGTCAAACCATCCAGATATTGCATTCGCAACAAACTGGGCCCGAAATATATGAAGAACAAAAGCTGTGAGGTGGCTTACACTGTGCAGAGGGTTGAAGAAACAGACACTGTGCCACATAAAAGCATCTTCACTATCCTCTGCTCTTCCAACTCTCTCTCTCTCTCAGTCAGTCCCCCTCCCCCAGCCCTCATTCACTCTCATCCCCTCCCCCTCCAGCTGTGGCGCCTGGCCTCAAGATCAGCCCTGACAGACGGCTTCCCCTGCTCTCATCCGTCCTTTTTAACTAAGTATTCCCTAGAACTCTGTAGAACCTGGCCCTTTTGAGGTGAAATTAATTATTATAATTTAATTATGATTTCCTGGAAAAATAAACTAGTAAGACACATTTTATCTTACTACAATTAAAATAATGATATTAATAATAAATCAGGTTGATTAATTGTTGTTAATTTTACTTAATTTTATATCAATCATGTTACATTATAATCTTCAATAATTGAATACACAGAACACACTACTTTCAATAATTCAGTTTTTTAAAGGGGTGCAGTAAACATGCTTTGCAAGCAATGTGTGAAGTGCATTCGCTGTAGTAGTGCACAGACAATAGACAGTTTAAAGCTAGGCTATTAAAGCAGAGAAAATAAGAAAGAGATGAATCTACGTCTGCTTTTTCAGATAAATATTCATAAGACTAAATGACGAATAGAGAATAGTAAGAAGTTATTTGCTTAAAACATCAGGTAACATGTGACATTTTATGCCGAAATATAAATAAATGGGTCATTTTAATAAATATTATTTGTCTACAAGATAAATAGGGATGACCCTGATTCAAAGTTATTTTCCAGGCACTTTCTAAACATCAGATTATTTCCGCTCACCTGCTCTCTCTCTCTCTCTCTCTTTCTCTCCATGCATCAGCCAGGCCATGCGTAATTACATTAATCTATATCTCGATCACTGTGGTTTCCTACAGCTGCATAAATCCATTCTAATTCCGATGAGTCTAAGAACCGGTGTACAGCAAACCGTTCAGAAATAGTGAGAGTGTGCGCCATTAAAAATAGAGCATCAAAAATAGAGCACCGTTCCTCATGTGCGTGTTCATGTTTACGAGCCGTGTTGCATTGCGCGAGGTCTTCCTTCCTTATCTCCTAATCTCACCGCGAAAAAAGCGGCACGGAAACGCATTTTTTAATGTATGAACACTCACCGACCACTCAGCTCTGGAGCGGATTCGTTATCAGCAATGTCAAGAATAGCGTATCAAGCGCGCTTCAACAGACAGACCGGCCACTTCTGAAACCCCCGCGCGCTCTCGATACCACCGCGCGCTCCGCAGTCGCTACCTTGTCCCCTTTCTGTCGTCATGGCAACTGGGCGCCTAACATCCTCCCTTTGCCATAGTCATATGCTGATGCGGAGCCTGCGGAATAATTTACACCACAGAAGCGTTTTAGAGCCTCCAAGACTCCCCAAACGCAATGCCCACTGCCAAGAGCTAATGGACTGAATTTTGTTAGCTGATTTAAATATATATATATATATTACTGATGTAAGCAGCTTATAAAAAATAAAAAAATAAAAACGAAAGAAATATTACGATTTATTACACATACTAATTCATACATAATTAATAAATAACTAAATGATTTAAAGAGCCGTTTTGGAAAACAAAAAAAATACGAAAATTTTAATTTAGTTTTTTTTCTCTCTATGCTTAAATAATATAAACAATTCTGCAGACATAATGACACTGCAAAGAACTTGTAGTTTTAATAGATTGAAAATGTAAAAATGTATAGCTTTTAATTAGTTAATTAGATGACCTTACATGTATTATTATATTTTAAAAGATAACACATGCAACTGTAATCTAAAATACTGTTTAAAACAGTAAAGCATGAATTAGCTTTTAATTGAGAACATTTTATCATATTTATCAAAAGCAATATGTAAAACGTTTTACAATATATGGGCGCAATCATATTTTGTGTACACTAAATTAATCTTTTATTTAAAACTCTCTTGTTATTATTTAGTACATTTTGCAGACAATTTTTGATAGCTTAAATAGGGTGGCATCATATTATTTACTGACATTGACAGTTATGAACTTGTTGTGATGCAAAATAATTATTTGTATTTTAGGGGTAAACAAACAATAAATAAACAAATATACAGAACCGGTCAAAAGTTTGGAAGCATTACAATTTGTTACTAATAAAAATGATAATAACTGAGTATCAAATCAGCCTATTAGAATGGTTTCTGAAGGATCATGTGACATTGCAGACTAGAGTAATGATTGATGAAAATGCAGCTTTGCATCACAGAAATAAATTATATCTTGAAGTATATTCAAATAGAAAACCATTATTTTAAACCGTAATAATATTAAGATTTATTTTGAATATTTTTCTGTATTCTGTATAATATTTTCGATCAAATGCAAGGATGTCGAGCATAGGAGACTTCTTTTAAAAACATTAAAAATAGTAATGTTTCCAAACTTTTGACCAGGGTATTTTAATCTCTAGCTCTTGAATGTTCTAGTCCCTTTCAGGTTAATTAATAATCTTTTACAAAACACCCATATAACCTCGAGTCTTTCTATAACATCTTTTACTAAAATTCAGGTACTTTATTACGGATCAAGACCTAGTTCAAATTTTTAATTAGACTAAAAATTAATCACAAAATGTTACATAAGTGTATACAAAACACAAACAGCACAATACACTCCAAAAAAAAGAGCAAATGAAAAAGAAAACCCATATACTGTAGGCTACAATATATTACAGGCAAACTCACTAAACTCACCCTATCAACAACACAAACACTGAACCAACGCTTCTGAGCTCTCAGCTATTGCTAGTCACTTGTCAATAGGTCATTGAAAAGGTAGCTTCATTAACCATGCATCTGACCACACAAACCCAAGCAGATGATTTCACGAGGTGCTTTATAATATAGGTTAATTGTGCCCATTCTTGGCCGAATAACTGAAGGAGTTATGATTGGAACTACAGGATAATCTTAACGCTGCTGAATCCTAGCACTGTACAGAGCTGGACGAAGCTTCCTCCTTCCCTTCCGACCCCCCTCAGAAGAACGCTGGGAATGTGTAGCACTCCCTAAGTCGGAGGTGGGGAGGGTGGGGGGTCTGGCGCATGTACCACACACACTCACATTCACACACACAGTATCACATGCTGGCGAGTGTACAGACAGTGTAGTCACGTATCTGCTGACTTGCAGGAGAATGTTGTTAAATACACAGGCGAAAGATTAAGCACTATGTCAGCTGGGCAGTGAAATAAGATTCAGGAAAAGTCTTTATATGAAAAGGTTAAACCATTGGGCAGTGAGGCAACAAATTACATTTTGGCCCCTTCTATCTCAGCACTTTGCTTCTACAGTAAGTCTACAAGCACTATGAAAGTACACTTGTTTCCATCACACAAACACACAACTGGGACTTCTTCGCACGCCGTCTATCAAACAGACCTGTCCTTGACCTCCCACTTGGATACTTGCATGTGATAAACTGCTTCCAGGTCAACAGAAGGTCAAGCAAATTGTCTTTCAAGTCCCACCACACACACGTCCTCATACACAACAACGAACTGAACTGGAACAAAAATGATTAAAGTTCAGCATCACCATGTCATACTTTTCAGTGAATGAAAACGAAATTATTTAAAAACAAATAACTATGATGATAAGAAGATGAATTTAGAACATTATATTAGGCCTATGTGTATGTCTGTCTGTCTGTGTGTGTGTTTTTACAAGCTCTTTACAACAGAGCCCTTTACTTGCTTTGAACACACCAAATGGATGAACCCCATGAACACAGAAACAGCAGCACCAGCAAAGTTCAAACTACAATAGATGTACACAAAATCAAATGGGTCATCAGCAAGATCAATAACCTATGTGGGTTGCTATGGCAACAGCACTTGCCAATGCAAAGATAAGCAAAGAAAGAAAGAAAGAAAGAAAGAAAGAAAGAAAGATTATCTTAGAGACTTGTAAAGAATCTTGCTGGCAGTTAAAGCACTTGCTATCACAGAAATCACATCCGCTCCCATGGCTGAAAGACAGTGGTTTCTAGGGAGCCGTCTTACTGTCCACTAATGGCGCTTCCACTACACAGTACCAGCTCGACTCGGCTCGGCTCACCTTTGCACTGTAAAAAAATATTGTTGGTTTAACTTAAAAAAGTAAGTAACCTGGTTGCCTTAAAATTTTAAGTTCATTGAACTGGAAAAAGTGAGTTAATATACTGAAGGAGAATAATTTAACCATCAGAAACTCAAAATTATATGTTATCTGAACTAAATACATTTTTTAAGTTGATTTGACAAAAGAAAATATGTTGTGATAACAAATCTTGAAAATATTTTTTACAGTGTGTTTGGTTTTCCACTGTGTAAAAGTTGTACCTGTACCTGCTTTCGGGTACTTTTTTTTTTGCATCAACTCCAGCGAGGTTCTGAGCAAGCTAAAGCGAGCTGAGCCGGTATTAAAATGTGACGTGAAAACAATCCCGACTGCTGATTGGTCAGAGAGAATCGTCATTATTCACTGTGTCATCACTGAACGCGCCAGATGGAGTATCCAGAATAACTCTGCAATTTTTAAATAGTTTGGCCAGAGATAGCTACTAAACTTACTACTATTATTATGGCAACTCGGAAGAATACACCGTGGTCAAACGAATGTACATATGAAAGTAAGAACTTTGATATGGAACAAAATACATATACTACGTTGTTCAAATTATGTAACTATAATATTGGTCAGCTAATTTTAAATTACTTCATTTTAGCAGAGCAACCCCAGTTGTGCCCAGTGTTTTTAGCAAGGTATGCATTATATTATTATGTACATGAACATGAACATTCATGTACATGAACGGCCAAAATTTAAGAAACAAAAATAAACAAAAAGGCGTTTTAGTTGAAAACAGTGTTGTGTAAGCCACCCCTTAAGTTTTGTATTAGTATTTGCCTTATTAATCGAAACCCATCTATTGAAAACCAGTGAAATATAAAACTCAGAAAGGGGACATTCACAGCTGTTTCATTGGACACTGCGAAATACATTTAGACAGCCCATTTCACAGCCTGACGCAGAGCTGGGCGCCATTCACCCATCCATTGGATCACTATATTTAATTTCTAATTATGCCTGGAATACAGAAGCCAATAAATCAAAAGTTAATTAAAGTCATGGATTCATCTTTAGTGGCAACTCAATCATCTTAAACCCATTAACACTGCAGATGAGGGACAACTGTGTGAGTGTGTTCATGAATGTGTCCATGTAAATGGAAGAGAAGGAGAGGAAGCTGGACAAAAGCCTGAATCATGATACAATAACCTTAAATTAAAAGGTTTTGGATTTTAATATTTTAATTCTCCATGACAAATGTGGCATGCATGATGTCAGAGAAATATACAAAAAATATCCAGCAAAGAACCAGAGCATCATGATTTTCTATCATTATTATCTCTTTTTTTATGTTATTTTGACACTATTGTCATAGCATTTTATAATGCTCACAAAATGTCAACAAAATGCTGCTTTGACTGGAACAAAAGCTCTAGGTGGACCAAACAGAGATTGATCATTAATGTCACATGCAGAGCTGCCTGCAGCCATTGACTGGAAATCATACCTACAACATTCCCACTGATTACACACACACACACACAACATGCAGTTCAATGTGCACTCACTCACTCACTCACTCACTCACTCTCTCTCTCTCTCTCACACACACACACACACGTACAGCTACTAATTCAAACCAAAATAACAATATAAAATCAACCATTTTTTCCCAAGTCCTCCAGCCAACGCATAGCTTAGAGGAGGGGTTTTGAGATGAAAGAAAAGAAATAAACCTTACAAACAATGGCAATAAGTTATTTACTTAATTCATGGCAAGTTGCCATAGCAACAGACAAGGGAAACCTGATACTGAAGACCATGTGATCGAAATGTAAAAAAATAACACCAAAAATGAGTGTGTGTGTTAGACAATTAATACTGTATCCTACCAGAAAAAGCAAAAAACATTAGAAAAAGCAGAGGAACATATGTCTTTCTTCACACAGCGTGAGAACAGGGACTGCAATAATTAAGAATGACACATTAATCTGCATTAATCTTTTTGGAGTCAAGCAGCGCAGAATCCCAGGGTCCAATGTAATGAATGGAGGATCTTCTCACTCTTCAGCCTTTCTGTCTATCTTATCCTCTCTAATACTGTATTTTTCCCTCTTGTGCCCAATTATTCTTCTCTCAAACCTTTGCGGTCCTTTTCACCAGCTGGCGAACCATCTAAATCCTATTAATGATGGTAAAACCCTGAGTATTACACAAACAGGTCTCTGTATGCATATATAGCATCTTATACAATGAAGAACTTTTTCATTCATGAACAGGAAGCAAGGAAACAATATCAAGAGGGATCATAACAACTAAAGTCAGAAGAATGCTTTTATAACTCCTCGTCATGCACGTAATGTTCTTCATGTCATTTCAAACAACACCTTGGCAATTCAGGATCAATGGATTCAATATTTTTTCTGAATTCTGCTATTGAACTGTAGTTCTTACTTTGTGAACAAGTAGGAGGTGTCCTATCACGTATCCGCTGCCCACTCTTTGCTTCCTCTCCCAGGTCAACCAGTTGCCAAAGGCCCCTCCCCCTGTCGTCACGGCGATCAAGGCGAAGGCGGAGCCTGACGCTCTGCACACCCAGGACGCTTGGTATCCAGGAGACGGTGGAATCCTCCAAATCCCTGCCTCGCAGTCTCATTCCCACAGCGACTCGCGCATCGACCAAAACATTACACTGGGAGACACAAACACACATTGAGAACATTAGACTAGAGTGCATCATATTCTCAGTGACATACTGTTTCTTTTAAGGTAACAAGTAGCCTAACATCTAATGTGAACAAAATGACCAATAAATGTTAGATAGCTTCCATCGCTCTCTGAAGAGACTATGCCAGTGGCATCTCATTCTCACCATCCATTATAATATTTATTATATTAACACTGGGAATTTAAAGGTTTATACTCACAAATCTTTCTGGATAGACAGTTGAAAGTGGAGCAATCTTGTACAAATGAAAAATCTTTAAAAAAAAAAATCAGAGCAAAAACAAATGATAGTGTTTAATGTGCACTATATATAAGGGCTGGGGATTGATTTGATTTCATGGCTTTTGAGAATAGATATTTCAAAAAACAAATAATAGAAAATAGATTTTTTGGGGGTGTTATGTATTGTATGAATTTATATTTTACATTTAAGAAGTGCCTTTGCGCTTTGCTTTTGGTACGAATATAGTGTTGCTTCTACAGTTTTGATCTGGGAGTACCTCATTAGCTTATATGAAAATGCAAACAGCAGAAAAATCATTTGCATCAAGGTGATCCAAGAAACATTAGGGTAATATCAAGCTTCAAGAGACACATTAAAAGGAAAAAAAACAAAAAAACAGCTACGGGTTGGATGGTGGACTCAATAGATGTTAGCAATGGCTAGCTAAAGTCCATATCTGAGGCACACTTGGACTTTGGAAACAAATTCGCACAGCTTTTATTACAGAATACCAACCAGTTACACACATAAAAGCACAATACCTCTTAAAGTGCAAGGGAGGTTTTCATTGACAATGTATTGAAGGAGTCATTGTGTTAGAAGTTCCCAGGCATATTTGTCAGTGCAGAAAAAAAAAATCAGACCAAGTGCTTTTTTTGGCACAGGAATTATCTTGACAGCCATTTCTGATGGTGGACGAAAGAGGAAAGAGATTTATTTCAAAGAGGACCCAAGGTGGTCAGGACAGCTCTCTCTCTCTCTCTCTCTCTCTCTCACACACACACACACACACACACACACGCACACACACACACACACACACGGTTTACATGTTTTATGGGCACCTTCCATTGACATTTTGATTTTTTATACAGTACAAACTGCATATTCTATCCCCTAACATTTACATTTTCAAAAAAAAACATCACTTAGTTTGATTTATAAGCTGTTTTTCTCAAGGGGACATTTGGTCCTCACAACGTAGGGTTTACCCTACTCTAGATGATGGCAGAATTTTCATTTTTTGAAGGACAATCCCTTTAAGCGTCACCACAAGAATTACTTTTTTCTTAACCAAAAAATACTTTCAGTGCTCAGATTCCAGTCCTTATAACCACAAGTAAACCATTTCCATCCCTCTCAGCATCAAAACAAAATGTCCATCATAAAAATCAGATGTTAAATTTGGATAACAAAAAAAAGGCAATGACTTCTACTGACCAAAATAAAAGCAATCATAATAAAAATGAGATGCAAATTAGCTAACAGTGCCAAACAGTAGAGCTATTATTAAGAAAAAATGGACTGGAGGAGAAGAGGACTTCTCAGCACAAGACAAAAAAGTAAAAGTCCCTTCCTCTCCTTATTCCAGTCTTTTAATTTCTAATTCAAGCATCCTTTGAGCCATTTCTTTACAGTCTTCTGTAAAGAGGTAATCTGAGCATGTAAAGCATTCAAATTCATGGCACATCAGGTTTTTCTGTCAAACAGTGAACCAACCGCTTTTTCAATACATGCATTTGCAAAGGGTATTGGATTAATTTACCCTAATTATCTTACTTTCATTTGTCTAGATTTTTCTGCTAAGGGAAACATTTGATATTTAGAGTGTGTATCTTAATGGAAAAAAATAAAATAAAATCACTGCTAAAATTGAAAGGTATTCAGGCATGGATTAAAGCCTTTGACAGAGTATTACACTGTATTGTATGTTTGAAGTAGATGGATGTTTAAATTTTGCATGTGTATGGAGTGCACAGAAAAATAGTCCTACAATTTGTTTCATTTTTGGCTACTCCATTCCTCATTGTAATTTAACAACCAAATCAATGTGGTTGGTCTTTGAATAGTGAGCTAACTCCAGGGAAACACTAGTGTAACAAAGGGTTGTAAACAGTGACTGATGGGTGATGTAAGTAAGTTTACCAGGGGGTTGAAGTAATCACTAAAAATGAACCATTCAGTTTAATGAGACCCAGTCATATAACACCCTGAGAGTCAGATTACATTTGATACTTCTTTAGCCTACAGCACAATAAATCAGTGCAAAAGAGAGCTAGATTTCACTACCATAAAAAAAAAAAAATCAAACCTGAACCCTCATCCCTTTTGGTCATTGTATAATAAATAAAACCGAGATGAGTAATCTGAAGTTTGCATCCTTTGCTATTAAAGGAAGACCGGCAGCTGCCCCTGTAATAATGTCTGCCCTTCCAGATAATCCTTTTAGTGAGGGCCACACTTGGCCAGAGCTTTATTAGCATTCATCCATATTTTATCATATTTATTCGTATTTGCCCTTGTGCTCTGTAGGCTGAGAGAGGCTTAGTCTCCCCTTGAGAAATTACTTTAGCAGCAACCGACGGTCAGAGACACAGACATATTCAGAATTTAAACATTAAAATTCACATGTGGCCAGTACAAATACAAAGTGACTTTTGATTCACATTCACCCCACACACACACATCATTCTGGAATGTTAAAATAGCTAAATGTGCGCACAGTAATTTAGGCCTACTTATAAAAAATTAAACAAAGATATACGTTTAAAATCATGAAAATCACAGGATGAAAACATAATGGCATAAAAAAGCAGTTTTAATTTACATTACACGTTAGGTTGAGATTGCATGTTGGGATACACAACATTGACTGATATTACAGGGTTTTTTTATGTTAATTTTAATGCTTAAAGGAGTGGTTCACTTTTCAAAAAACTTTTGCTGATAATTTACTCACCCCCATGTCACCCAAGGCCAAGATGTCCATGTCTTTCTTTTTTCAGTCGAAAAGAAATTAAGGTTTTTGATGAAAATATTCCAGGATTTTTCTCCATATAATGGACTTCAGTGGGAACCAAACGGTTCAAGGTCCAAAAGACACTTTCAGTACAAACTGCAAACTGTTCAAAGGGCTTTAAACAATTCCAGACGATGAATAAGGGTCTTATCAAGCGAAACGATCGCTCATTTAATAAATAAATAACAAAGTTTAAGTTTTATAAGCTCAAATGCTTGAAAAAATTTCTGATATTTAGAAGAATATTAGTAACTAGACAGTTTCTGGTCTCACTGACTTCCATAGTATAGGAAAAAATATTAAAACTATCTGGTTACCGATATTCTTCTAAATATTAGAAAATCGACTGAATGGATTCGAAAACGGTAAAACTCAACTGTTTAACTCTGAGGGAGTTGTAAAATGAGCCTATGTCCAAAAAAGTGGAGTCCCTTTAAACAGAAAACAGTTATTCTAAATTGTAATAATATTTCACAATATTACTGTTTTTACTGTTTTTATGGTGAGCCAGAGGCTTCTTTCAAAAACATTAAACCTTCTTACTGACCCCAAACTTTTGAGTGGTTGTGTAATCTCAACATGCAACACATAACAGAGTGCATTCAAAAACCATTAAAAATTCGAAACCATTTGAAAAGCAAAATCTTATGATGAATTTAACACCCTAAACACACCAAACACAACCTTAAAAAAACTGAGATAACCCTTCCTTCTGACGGTGAGGAGTGCAAAGCTCGGACTATCATTGATACTCTGCTAGTCATCAAAACAAGAAGACTGAATTTCATTCAGTAAGAAATATTCACATGGCATGGGACAAAAGGCTGGATTTAGAAGAACGTGTAAAAGAGTTAAAGTAGTGCAATCAAAACCGGGGAGGGTCTAATAATGGTAGTGAATTGTCAAGAGATGTGGGGAAGGTCTTGTAAACACATAAAAATAGGGGAGTTTGTGGTGAGGATCACCCAGTGAATCTCAATTGTAATCATACTCTCAAGAATCACTTCAGAAGATTGTCTCTGCCTATGACCAAAAAAGATTAGCCACTTTTGGGCCAATTACTCCACAATCAAGTCTTATTTCAGGTCCGTTTTCAGACCAAGAACCTGGGTGAATTTTAAAGTATGGTGCTCTACAATTTCCTGCTGATATCTCTGATGCCTCAACACAGGGTCAACAGAAAATGATTTATCTATCATGCAGTGGTATTTCCTCACATGAACATAAACTGTAAAAGGGCAGGGCTGTTTTTGCATGACCCTGAAGTTCTGTGTGACGCCAGAGTGTTTTTCTAACCTTGTAACCAAACACACTTTCACACAGCCCATCTCTGGTGGCTTATTTGGTTCGATAATAAAGAATGTGTGTATCCACTTATTCACTCTGACACAGTGCCTGAGGGTCTGTTAATACACACACCACTGCATTGTCTATGTGTGTGTGGGTGTCAAGGGGGAAAGCGACCTTCCACAGGAGACATTTCAGATGTGCTTAATCCCTGAAGTTGCTTTTTTTCCCAAAAACATTACAGGGGGATTAATAATTATCCCAAAATGATGACTGCTAGAAATCATGACTACAAAGTTCCATGCCATTAAAGTCCAGAAAAATAAGAAATTATAGCCCACAAAATGGCTCTCTTACTGCGTTCTCAGCCAGCAAAACAAGAGCCAGCACAGGTGGGGCAGACAGGTTGTCCCAGTGGAGTAAAAACACATAAACAACCCTATACCCAGAGGAAACATTTATTACTCAGAGGTTCCTCTTTCATAAATCAGGAGACGTAGATAACGGAGATCTCTGTAATGTTTCATTAAAGTATCAGCTTTGCCTCAGAAGTTTCCTAATTATACAATTAATGAGGATTCACACATGGCTCAGATAATGTGATGAGAAATCTTTGAGTTCACATCAATATCTCTGGCTATGTTTGGTATCTTGCCAGTTTTGAGCACAGTGTGAGACATTGCTGAGATCTCTTCTGAAACTCTTGGGGTGATGCATGTGAGATTGCTGGGGTCATTTTCTCAGAAAATCTGTGAAAAGCAGGAGACTTGAGCATTTTTCTCCATTTAATCTCACTGCTGTCCCTCATCTTTAACTTTTCTTTCCTGTGGGTGTAATTAAAACTGATCTTCATATAAAATATAATATATAGCGTAATATTTTATTTCTTGCTATTATTAGAATGAAATAAATGAATTAGCTTAGCTGCAGATTCAAAGTTGCAAACATTCAAAAACGTCACTAAAATGATCTGTTCGGTAGCCTATACCTAACAACGTCTCAGCGATATATTGAGTGCAATCTAAGATACCTTAAAAACAGACAGATATGTAATGTACAGTAAGTTATCACAATTGTTACAGTCTATAATGTTAATCATCAGGCGGACGGCATCGCAGTGACCATTTCATATTTGCATCGATGAACTTGGCGTCTCGAATGACGCTGACAACAGCAAAGATCCGCATGGAAAAAGCAGCTAATGCCGAAATGATTACCTCTGCTTGTCGGCGGCTGCAACGCTTGGATTGCCGTCTGTCCGAGTCGTGCAGAACACTTTACCCCAAAAGCAGCAGCTCGACTGCGGGCTCGATTTTCTTCCCGCGCCGCCGGTGCAGAAGTGAATTCGCGCGAGGACCGCGGCCAGGGCTCCGGGAGCAAAAAACAAAAAAACTGCCGGTTTCGCTTGCACGCAGACACGGTGCCAAACTGATCCGCACCCCGGGGATCTAATTAAATGGCTAGGTACGGGGGCGTATGGTGAAACGTTTATATTTCGCCAAGGTATGCAAAACGATGTAGAGTAAAACACCCACACAGGATATCCGACTGTATCCCAAAATCTATTGCATACTATGTGTGTGTGTAGATGGAGTTGGAAATCTCTCTTCGGTTCTTGGGTTTTGGAATAAACCCACTTGAACCCACATGAAGCTTGTTTGTGAAATTCCGTGGAGGATTGTGAGCAATAAACGTTGCTTCCGATCCGGTTATTTTAGCTAATAAAGCAGTGTTCAACGTTTATGAACATATTTTTAACAGTTGTTTTAATATTGTCAACTAACTCATAAGGAAGAAAATACAGCAGAATCGGTGTAATTGTAGTAAAATGTGTTGCATCTGCTGTCCTAAAATCCCACTGCACAAGCTAAATAAATTTATTAGTTTCGTTTTTTTAATAGGCCTACATAAATAGTCTAGAACATTGCTCTTTTTAAAAAAGTTAAATGCAAAATTTATTTTAAATGACAGTAAGCTCGAGTCTCTTACAACCCCTTCTGCCCGCATTCAGCTGAACAGCTAATGCAAAATCATTAATATAGGACTGTGTTTGAGGGCACTCAAATGATTTGGTGTTGAGATAGGCTATGTTTATTATTATAATTCCACATAATAAAACAATATTTATTGTTGTTTCATACATTAAGTTGATTAGCCTATTTGTCTTTATTTATTTGTTTGTTTAGGAAATGATCTTTGTGGTCATTTAGCCTACTCTGAAGGGAGGGTAGAAAATCATATTGGATTTGGGTGTTGAACCTGTTCGGGAAGGCACACTCAAGGTCATGGGACGAAAACTGATGTTGGTTTCGCACTGTAGAAATACAAGCATGTCAGTCACGGTGTTACGTGGTAAAAATTACGAAAATACGGCACATTTATGAGCATAAGCTACTCACAGAGCCTATATTATCACGGAAATCCGTTTAAATATCTAAAGCATGGCGCGAATATAGTTATTGCCTATATATTATATAGAGCGAAAACTGTCCACATATTATTTAAAAAATAGCCTAACTTGTTGACGTGTCAGCGCGTGAACTTTTGACTAAGCTGCAGCACACTTGACTAACTTATTGGTTTGATACATTCAATTCCTTATAACAGCAAACATATAGAAAGGCGAAAAATGTCGATGAGTATAAATTATTTTTGAATATAGGCCTACTGTTTAAAAAAAGTTAGAGATTGCTTTTAACATTAAAAAAAAAATTGTTTCTCGTTTATTTCAAATAATTAAATTCAAAGTCCAAACTGCAAATTTGACAATGTGTGTAGCCAAAACCAATAAAATGAGCCTCAGAAGTTTCAGAAACTGGGTGTTTGGAATAAAGGGGATGCTGATGGTTAGACTTCACAGACCAGTGTCCGCTCACCAGCAGGATTTGTAGCACTTTAAAGTAACTTTCATTCTCTTTTGTATAATATTTAACAAATCATTAGCAATTATGTCTTCAAAATGTTTTTTGAAAATCAAGAAGAAGAAGAAAAATCTCCAAAGTGCCTCATACCTTCAGACAAATAAAGCTCAGTCTAGTAAACACTAATAGTCTATAAAACTATAACTATTATAGTACTATAACTTAACTAGTCTATAAGAATATTTATCAAGGAATGATGCAGATTCAGAGAACATCTCAAAGCTGTGTTCAATCATGTGTAATCAAAAAGAAAATAATTTAAAAAGTTATTTTATTTGAAATTATTTAAATACAAATAATATATATTTTCCATTTACAATGACAGTTTTCTTGTAAACAAAAGTGGCAGATACTGTTTACTAGGTAATTCACCCTTTTCTGGCCGGTGAGTTTCTCTGTGTATGCAGAGACATTTCTCATAATCTGTGCGGTTCAGTCACAGCATGAATTCTGAGCCTACAATCTTTTATTGGAGCTATAATACTAAAATGTCTACTTATCTGTAAAACCTTTATTGTTTTATAAAATTGGCTGTGAATGCGTGTTACATGCAACCAGAATATGACACTTTTCCCTAAGTCAATAAAGATTACATTGTTGTTTAAGCTAATGAACGCGAGGGGAAATAAGTCAAATAATTTTCTACGGATGTTTGCAATTTTCCAAATGTAACTTTAAAACACAAACATTAGTTATTGGGAACAAACAAGAAAATCCAATTTCCTGTCATAAATTCATGATAAAAATGTTTTAACAATAAATGAAGATTATCATTTCATACGCATTTCTACATTTCAAAAAATTTCATATCAGTCACCTCTCCCACTGATTGATAAATAAAAAGACCAGACTAATATTTTCACAACCACTAAATCAGCACTTCCAATACGCTGTCAGACCTTCCACTGGCGCAAAAATAACATTGAAATGGAACAAAAATAATAAAATATACCCTTAATTTTCAGCCCTGTTGCCATCCCTCCACAACTTACAGAAATAAACACTGACCCTCGATTATTCCCATCACTTATATTGGTGTTTTTGCATCACAAACCATTTGCAATATTTGTGGCCACTACAAATTGTATACATTGAATAAGGCATTCATATTTGACGAGAGTGGAATGTAAAACATATATATATAAAAAAATAAATCAAGGTAACCTATCGATAGATGAGGAATACAGATCTATGGGAAGCCAAAAGTCCTATATGTCATTTGATCATTTATTTTGGGTTTAATTCCACCCACCTGTCTTTCAAAGCCCTATGGCAAACAGATTGATGGGAAAAGACCTGTGCTTGTGTACATTCACGCTAGAAACACAGACTCTTTGTAACAACTGCAGTCAGCAACAGTGGGGAATTTTAGGTTTCCAGTTCAATCAATATTCAAAAACTTAAATTGTCCTAGAGGGAGTTAAAAAAAAAAAAAAAAAAATGAGGCCATGTTAATACACAGAGGCAAGAAATCAGTCTGATATCTACCTGCTTATTTGTGAAAGAGCGGAACAATAGTTATAGGTAAAGCAACATTAAAGGTTAAATCAGGACTAAACAGTAGACCTGGCTGTGGAATGTCTGCAGTCATTTTTGTGAGGCTGAGACAACCTGCGCTCGTGATGAGAAGCTGGAAGTAGTTAAGATAGGTGAGATTTATAAATGTATTGGATTTCCACACTTCAGGACGATGAAGACAATTTGAGATGCAACCCACAGCTGTGCGGCTCCTTCGCCCATAACTCTCGCTCAAGCAGCTCTGATCGCACCAAGTCCTTGTGCTCACTTCACACAGCCTCGTAAAAGTGAAAACACCTGGTCAATTTGATATCTAACTACAAAATGATAAGGTAGAAAACACCCTTGAAGCATAAATGGACATAAAATTGAAAAATGACAGTCATGAGGTGTGTGATTTTTCAGCGGTACTCTGGTTTTTATTTTTTCCGACGCATTGGCTGGTCAGACATGTTTTTCGTCAAGTGGAGAGGAATATGAAACACAGCTGGACCCCACACATAACCACTGTGACATCCCACCGATAACGACTGGATGAACGCAGGGAAAGATAACCGACAGTTCCTTAAGTCTTGTTTTGATTGGCAAAATAAACGGTTCAGACAGATTTGTGATTCATGAGGGTTTTAAACAGGAAGAGGGGGCGTCAACGTCCTTGTCTCCTGTTTGCCTCCGGTCTGTGGCGGCCCAGAAGACGGCAACGGTCTGGGGCTATGTGGGTGTGGGTGTGTGTGTATGTGTGTGTGTGTGTGTGTGTGTGTGCACATGGGTGTATGAGCTGTGCTCAAGTTTGCATGAAATGACTGGATTAGTCGTTGTCTTCTTCATCTTCCTCAGACTCCTCAATGCCATCACTGTCCTCTGGGTCATCCTCTTCTTCCTCAGTTTCTGGGATATCCCACTGCGGGTGGTTATCCATCATGGCCTTCGCCTCATGAACCTCCAGCTAAAACGAAATAAAATGATGACCACAAAGATTCTAGAAAATATATTAACATATTTATTAACTGGAGTAATGGCTGGTGAAAATCCAGCTTTGCCATCACACAATTACCTTAAAAATATATTCAGATAGAAAACAATTGTAATAATATTTTTTGCAATATTACTGTTTTACTGTATTTTTTGATTACATTTTCTTCTTTAAAAAAATGAAACTTAAAGCACAAAATTTAAAAGGACCGCCCAGTGTGTGTGTATTTTTCCAAAAAGTTTTTTTTTTTTAAATATTTAATAAAAAAATAATTTAACAAATAAGAAAGAGCATTTCCAAAGAAGAAAACAAAAACTGACCTTGAGTGGCTTGACCTGATCTAATCCCATGAATGAATCTGATCTGAGAATCACAGAATATTGATAGTTTCCAGTTTTGGATGGAGCGGGGAATTTCAGTTCAACCTGAGGCAAACAGGAAGTTTACATAATCATTGGTCACTTTACACAACTCAGCACAATCTAATACGGAGGAGTAATTGGGAAATATGGGCAGATTTATGACCCTTTTGTTTACATCCTTGCATTCTCATGCTCCTCACAGAGAGGAAGCTCTCAGTATATGTCAGACAGAATTATGACAGGCATCTGGCTGTCCTGTAACCAGACAGAGACTGCAGTGTGGAGGTTGCCTAGCAACAGGCTATGGGGAATACTGCAGCGCAGGAGACTCTGAAGCCAGTCACACACACACAAACTCTATTATTCTTTCATTATAATATCAGCACACTATATTGCAATTAATTTTAGTGATTTGTTTTTGTTATTACTACAGTTCTAAATGCCTTAGTTTTCCAATTGAAAGAAAAAGAAAGAAAGAAAACCTGGATATACAAGACCATCAAAACAATGAGCAACACAATGTCATCCTTTCTTTTACCTCTTTCAACTTTTCTCAACAAAAAGGTGTGATAGAGCACAAACAGATGGTTGTGGCCTCACCTCCTCGGTGTCTTTGAGTGTGCACACATGATTGGGCATAGACACCAGTGTCTGCTCTTTCCTATCTGCGATGTAGAGCCACCACCACTCCTGTTTCTCCTCAGGAAAGTACAGGCTGTAGACAGGGTGTGTGACCTTAGACTTGGTCTCCAATAGCGCCCTTTCACGACGCTGAATGCTCTGTTGTAGGGCCTCCCATTCCTATAGAAAAAAAAAGACGTGTTGGTTATGGAATAATCTGCACTGCAATAACTACCATCAGCAGTCACTCGTCCAAGAGATTTGACACGCACCTCCTCATCATCTCCGGCAATCTCGTCCATCTCAGTGTCACTCTCCTCATCTCTCTCGCTAGGCGAGTCCTTATTTCCCTCTGCTTCGTCCGATTCACTGCCTTTATCAGAGAGATCGTCCTCTTCCTCTTTTGATGCAGCAACTTCCTGTGAACAAGAAAACATATGCAATGGGATGAAAGATTTGTTGTTGCGGTCAATAATATCAGAAAACGTGCATCAAAATAAAACTGACTAAAATTAATGAATGACATATATTACACTACCAAGTTTGGGGATGGCAAGATCATTATTTTTTTAAACTATGGTAAAAACCGAAGTAGCGAAACTATTGAGCAGAGGGGCCATAGAGCCTTTATCTCAAGCTAAGAGCAAAGGGGGTCTATAGAGCAGATATTTTCTGGTACCGAAAAGAAACGGGGGTCTCAGACAGTTCAGAATGCTCACAACCAGGAAAATCCTCGTGCAGATTTGCCAAGAGGACTGGTTTATGTCGATAGATCTGAAGGACGCTTATTTTGCTTATATTGCCAGGGTGGCGTCAGGTCCCAAAAGCTTTACAGGCTGACGGAACGCCTCCTGGTCTGGACTCAGCACAATATGCGCTCATTGAGAGCAGCACATGTGCCTTGTCACCTGAATTAGGGACCAGACAAATTGTCCAGAAAAAATTTTCCAGCAGGAGAATGGTCTCTGTGGCAACACTATAAATGTTTTACTGTCACTTTCATGCATCAATTTAATGTATCTTTGATTAATAAAAAATAAAGAAAACGTCCTGACCTCAATCTTTAGTATGGTAAAATTGAAAGTTATTTTTATCAAAAAACAAAACAAATGTACCACTGAGTATATACAAAGTTCTAGGTTCCTTACATTTCCTGCCACATTGCCATTGGCCTGTTTGGCCTTGTCTCCTTTTGCTTGCTGTTGGGGGACTGGTTTCTTCTTAGTCAGTTTCTTCTTTTTGGACTTGGCAGCTTTTTTAGCTCCTTTATTCTTATTTTGCCAAACTTTTGTTTTGTTTTTGGCATCACCTTGCTGCAAATGACAAATTAATCTTTTTAAAACATTCAACCATGATAATGAGCAAATAGCAAGATGCAACTGTGCTTGTTAAAAATCATTATATTTTTGTGTTTGATTATTGTGTAACTTAAAAGCATTACTACCTCCTCTGTATTAGCTTCCTCTGTAGGTAGAGGTGCATTCTCCTCTTTCTCGAACATCTCCTAAACACAAATACAAATTTAGTGTACAAATTTACAATGTTGTTGTGTGTAAATAGTTCAATGTAGATATCAATAAAAACTGTTTTTGGTAAAAAAAAAAAAAAAAAAAAAAAAAAAAAACATTGTCTTGCTGAAATGAATTCTCAACCAAAAAAAATTAAAACAAAAAACAGGCTCAGCATTGACCTCTTGTGGATGCCTGCTGCAATGTGTGTACCAATGGCCATTCCATGACCATAATCAATGCCCATATTATACATAACACACAAATCAACCACTATAGTTAGAGTGTAGAGTAATACTATACGACCCCTTTTCAAGTTAACATCTGGATGAGAAATGGAGGCCCATGAGATATTCTTGTAAATATACTACTTACAGACATTCTCTTCCTTGTCAAGGTAACTGTAACTGTGACAATGGATCCTGCTGTGATGTTATTGCTATCTTCATCGTCCAAGACTGTAGAGTGATGAAACATACAAAGAGTTGAAGTCTTCAAATAACACATATTGTTTTTATTGAATGTAAAAGTGTACAAACGCTGACTAACAAACACACCTTGAAGTTTAGTTTCCATGTTGATAGAGGGGAAGCTCCCGAGGACCGCCATGACCTCATCATACTTCTCATCCCCAAGGAATCTCAGCATGTTTCTCCTGTCCGAGTCTTTCAGACTGACAAGATCTTGCAACGTCCGCACCTTATACTGAGAATCAGAGAGGGGAATGAGATTTGGAAATTTGGATAGTATTTTAAATTTTGGCATAGTAACAATTAGGGCTGTCAAACGATTAATCCTATTCAAAATAAAAGTTTGTGTTTACATAATATCTGTGGGTGCACTGTGTATATTTATTTTGTATATATAAATACACACACATGCATGCATATTTAAGAGTATAAAAACATATAAAAATATAATATAAATTATATATAAATCTATATACAGTATAGACATGAAAAAAATTATTAAATATATACAAGCATGTGTGTGTATATATATATATATAAAAATTATATACAGTGCAGCAACATATATTATGTAAACACAAACTTTTATTTATTTATTTTGCGATTAATCACGATTACTCGTTTGACAGCCCTAGTAACAATAGTTTAAGTGGAGGTGTGTAACTATGGTTTGTATTAAACTTGTTATGAAGAAAAATAGCCTACATTTTTTTGAAAGTGCCACTATAACTGATGTAGCAGATTACCTCACAGCCCTAACTATTAGTATGCATAGATTTACAAAATAAAATGCCACAGTTTTTATAGTTCTACTATAGTATACTATAAACAACAACAAAATTGCCCTAACATATCCTCTTATGTGCTGTAATGCCTTTGAGAAATAGGTACCTTTTTACAGATACAGTATCGGAGGTGCTCCTCTTCAAAATGGGGCAGCTGCAAGAAAGGAGATTTGGCCTCCTGCAGTCCTTGAACCACCATCTGAGACAGTTTCATGCAGTTCTCTATGGACGTCAGCCTGGGGGCCCGGAGTCCTAGAAAATCAAACAAGCAAAAAAAAAAAAAAAAAAAAACATGTTTTAATCATGTATCAGGGCTCGCAAAATCGGTAGCCCGATGTCCCGAAGCTATTGTGTTTTCCAGTCGGCTACCAAAATGCATAAATGTCGTTTGCAAAATTTTTACATAATCACGTTTGCAAAAAACCTTTGTTTGTTTGATTTTTTAAAAATTTATATATATATATATATATATATATATAAAAATAACAACAGCATTTATTTGACTTTTTGTTTATTTTTTTATTATATATATATATATATATATATGGCAGTAAAGAAAACAATACATATAGTCTTTACTGCCATATTTATGCATTCTTGAATTAAAGTAAATGCGTGATCTTTGAAATCAACAATCATACTGATGCCAAACGTTTTAACTGTAGTGTATATGAATACATGTTTTAAAATTAAGCCTTAGTCCATCAGTCAATATTGAAAATATTAGTTACCTCCTCTACTGGTTGCCATCATAGTGAGTTGACAGCCAACATTGATCATTTCCTGTAGTAAAGCAGGGCCCTTCTTCACCACAAACCTTTGATCTGTAGAAGATACAAAACTACTAATTAATTCACATTAATAACCCTAAATTATTTGCAATGAAAATTCAACATGAATACAGATCAGGTAGCTCAACTAGCAGAGCGTGGCATTAGCAACAACAAGTTTGGGTTTGATTCTCAAGGAGCACACATACTTGCAACGTATAGCTTGAATTCTTTTGGATAAAACCGTCTGCCAAATGCATAAATGTAATGAATTGTATTAGACCGGTAGTTGTTGTGGTATTATCTTACAGAAGTAAATTTTGACACTTGTGTGTGAGGTGTATGTGAATGCACTGCATACCCTCCTCTATGTTCTCAGAAACATCCATCCTGGCAAGGTGTGTAAGTAATAAGACTCGAGCCTTCAGGCTGTAGGGATAGCAGAATGGAGGCTCCTTCTTCTTAACATTAATATTCCCCAGCTCCCGAATCAACTGCATAAAGGAACAAACACCCAGCATTATATTTACTGTATGAAATTGTAATCATTATCCACAAGCACTCTTAAATCTTTGGCACAAAACGCATATAAATGTTTGAACATTTTACCTGAGGAACTTCTATGTTGTCTGTTGGTCTTATAATGGCCTCTTTGTTACTACGAGGATCAAACTCAAACGCTGCCGTCAACACCATCACCAATCCTGTCAAACAGAGAGAGAGAGAGAGCAGATGAATTCACGAAAGGATGTCATAAAATAGTTTTCTGAATGGTGACCTTACGTCCTTCTAGGTGTGCACTTACGTTTCATGTTCATTGTAGGCGTTTTGTACATAAAGTGCATAAAAAGCTGAGTTGTGTTGATCAGGATCTGATCACCGCTGTAGCGAATGGAACGGTACCACCATGTGCCCTAAACACAAATGCACACATTAATATAGGGTTTATCAGAATATTAGTCAACGGAAATCAATTTAAGGGTTTCTATACTACAGTTTCTACAAAACGACCAAAAAGGTAAACTACTTTTTAAAGGGTTCTTTTATTTTTTATCTTTTACTCGGCAAGGACACATTAAATTGATCAAAAGCAACAGTAAAGTGATTTAAACATTGTTTTCCACATTGATAATAATAAGAAATATTTCTTGAGCACTTAATTAGATATTAGAATGATTTCTGAAAGATCATGCGACACTGAAGACTGGGGTAATTCAGCTTTGTCATCATAGGAATAAATACAATATTAAAATTTCACAATTTCACTATTTGTACTTTATTTTTGATCAAACACATGCAGTCCTGGTGAACATAAGAGACTTCTTTCAAACACATTCTAACTTTTGAACAGTAGTGTACATGATTTCTATGAAATCTAAAGTCTAAGTTATTGATCACCATTAGAAGACTAGCTTACCACAACCACTGGAAGGATGACCATAAAAGCCAACCCATAGACCAGCAGCACCTGTGAAAGGCACAAACAAACAGGTTTTGCCATTTATTGCATGACTTGAGCCATTTATATAATGTTTAGTTGACACTTAAAATGTGCTTAAAACTTAACTGAATGTGAACTTACCAGCATGGAGTTTTTCTGGTCAACAATCCACGCAGGAAGAGCGATTCCAAAACTCGTCACTGATCAAGAATGAATTGAAATCGAGATCAGTTTAGAGAACACAAAATAATCAATCAATCAATGAGTTAACAAGTTCAAGAAATCATCACCTCTTGGGCCATCAGGGTTGCCATAGGTCTCCCAGTTTTTCCGTGATTCCTCATTTGTCAAACTGTGAGAATATGAGTGTGAGAAACAATTTTAAAAAGTGATGATTACATACTGTGCCATATTGACAAGTAATTGAAAGGTGCAGCGTGGGTATTTCAAGAAGATTAAGCATTTAACTCTGGCACAGTGGGTGACATTTTTACAAATTGTATTATGCTAGCTAAAACAACACACTGCAATACCAAGATTGAAAAAAAGAGTTGCCACAGCCATAAATAACATGACATTAAATTTAAAAGGCAACTTGTAAAACGGGTGGCGGCAGCAGTCTTACGCTGAGTAAGCTTTAGCCAGCTTCATGAACATGGCCTCATCTCCACCTTTATCAGGATGGTGTTTTAGAGACAGAACTCTGTACTGCTTCTTAATCTCAGCAACAGATGCCCCCTAAAGAGGAACATAATGGATCTATTAATCTAGAGAAGTAGTAGCTTAGAGATTAAAATGACAAAGAACAAGATTAACAAGAGAGAAAGCAAGAATGCCGTCCTTACCGCGTCCAAGTTGAGGACCTCATAGGGGTTATACTCCTGGTACTCGCGATCTAATTTAGACACCTTATAGGCCAGGAAAAGAAATACTGCCCACCCAAACAACAGGGCTGCTTTTCTAAAATGACACAGAACAACAAAAAAAAGTTCATTTTAGTTTGTAACCACAATTTACAATTAAAAAGTAGCTGTTGTACATGTAATGGTGACTAAATAGCCAGGAGAGCAGATTTAAAGCAACCCTAAGTAAAAATGTTTAACTTTAAAATAATGTTTTCAAAATCGTTTCAGTGGTTCATCAAGTCGTGACATGCCACCGCTTTGCGATTATTTATAAGATATATCCACGCTATGTAAGATTGCCAGATCAGGTCACGTTTCTGTAGTCCGAATGAGACGTTAGAAAACTACAAATTTGACTTGCTTTATGGCAAGTGTTACAATTGCTTACAATTCGACGTAAAGTACAGTGGGTACAGAAAGTATTCAGACCCCCTTAAATTTTTCACTATTTCACTCTTATTTTGCAGCCATTTGCTGAAATCATTTAAGTTTGTTTGTTTTCCTCATTATTGTACACACAGCATCCCATATTGACAGAAAAACACAGAATTTTAGATATTTTTGCATATTTATTTAAAAAAAATTGTTCTCTCGCGTCGGAATTTGAGGAAGTGGGGGAAGTGACGTATGCCATAAAGCTGTCGAATTTTGTAGTTCTTTTTGTGCTCGGGTTCCTACCCGCTCCCTGAAGTTACAGAGTGCCAGTAAAAGCGATACAGACACTGTCAGGCTATGGCAGACCTGTCATTCACCCCATTGTATGTTGATGTACCATCTCAAGGGTTTTGGAAAAATATTATAAAGGTTGAAAAAAATGACAGTGCTGCTTTAAACCATGAAAGACGAGATTCTGAATACTCCATGCATCTGATCCAAGCTTTGTGCTTTAAATAGTTGGTGCAGAGCTTTGAAAAGTGTCTGAGACGATTATTTTGCTGAAGAATTAATAATTTTATAAGTTTTGACCACTGTGCTGCATTGCTGGGTTGTCACAGCAACATACAAGAAGAGTACATTTGAATAAGCCCATTATAAAATCAAATTGATCTAGATCGCTATATGAAATTTCAGAAATCAAATGAAATAGTGTGATCTCAATAAACAAAAACTAAAAAAATCATGAAATAACTGCAGTCCTCCTAATGGTGAATCATAATAAAAAAATGTTGACAGAATACCAAGCACTTAATACATCATATGTTAATATATTAAACAATATATGTTTTTGATATCCTTTAAAATACTTCACATGCATCATGGGCAAATAAAAAAAAAAAAAAGCCCATTATGTGATTGCCCATTATTATGTGATTGCCCATCATAAAATTTGCCCAAATTTGCCCTTTTTTTTTTTTTTCCATCATCGTAAACAGATGCTGTTGTAAAAATGTAAATGTTACCCAGTGCACACTATATACAAACAACTACTGCAATAATAACAAAGTATGCATGTTAAAAACTAAATGCTTTCAAACTGCAAAAAGACAGAAAGACTAGCTAAATGAGATGAATTCACCTGAAACTCACCATTTTCACAGAAACAATCACTTACTTAAGTGTTGGAACAATGCTCTGTTGTGATTTCATAAGCCGAAGGCGATACCACAGACATCTTCCATGAACTCTCCGTAAACTCTTCAACCGCAATTGCTCTGAGAATTAATTAATTTAAAAGAACAAACAATTGTGCGATGAAATCGAATTCTCACTCACCATGCAAACAAACATACAGCCCATACCAAAGCAGTACTCCATATACACTGATAGCTTCAGATAATAATGCTATGGTACGTTGACATATTTCATAGTACTGAATGCTTACCATATTCATATATCACAGTATTTACAGTACACATGCAAGAAACAATATTAGTCTTAGCATGCCCAAAAAGCATGACAGTACTATGGTACTTTTTAGTTAGTAAGGCTTTTGCAAACTTGGCATGGGATTTGATATTTTGATCTGAATGTGAACCTTTGTGGCCCTCTTACATTGAGAGCCATTTTACAAAAGCTGTCTGAAAATGTACAAAATGTTAATGTTACATAACAGAAATTAACAAGACAATGATTTTTGTGCAGTAAAACCATTGTTACTAATATCTAGACAGACAGAGACAGTCTGTCACACTGTCGCACACAAACAAAAATAAGCTGTAGTGTTTTCAGCCTGATAGGAAATTACTGAGCATTAATGTGCTGTAAAAACCAATAAGGTGCAGCTTTTCTTGAATGTTGCTTGTGTTACACACTTCATTCTTGTTTGCACAGCTGAACACTTGCACTGTGTATACACTTAAATATTAATGTGTTTACAAATGAATGATAAATGTGTACCTTTTACCTGTCAGTATATTTTTGTGTTTTCTTCTATGTAGCTTGCAGAAACTGCAAGCCAATGTCTTTGTGCCTATATTTATTTATTGCTGTGAATTTTATCAATATTTATGCTTTTCTGTTGCATGTAAACAGCACGTAAATGAAAGATAAACATGCAGTTCTCGAAAGAGCACAATTCACAAGAAGGTGAAAAAAACATTTCATAACACATGCTAACAAATTAGAGGGAGTGGCACTGAATGCCATTCAGATTGCAGACGGAAAATAATATAAAAATCCACTGCGTTATATTATATGTTCAGATTAGTTGAATGTGTTTGCCAACGTAAACAAATGAGATCATACGAAAACAAGCCTACTTAACGGAGTAACACTACATTTAACGTATGTAGCTGGTGTGTGATGGCAGGAATGCTCAAATAGAAACTTGAAAAGCCTTATTTATAAGTATCTGAATTAGGATCCGTTACCGACACCTCTTAAATACTGGAAATATCCCACCAAGTCTAGTTTATTTGAATAAGGGTCAGCTGCTAATGCCACACATTAACATTCTGGCAAGCCCTTGGTGTCATTACTAGATTTACTCTCGGCATTCGTTTTAATAAATACAGCAATGTCATCAAATATTCTTTGCAGAAAAGGCAATCATGGTTATCAGGGTGATCAGCAAGCGACAGGCAACTGGTTAGCTGGTAGTGCATTAGCATATGGGGCCTTACCCGCATTCTGATCCCGGGGCCAGAGGTAATAGGTGGCTGGGATGACTATTAGTCCCACAAATGACGTGAGGAAATAGAAAAAGGTGTTGCCACTGTCGTCGTACTGAAACTGCTGTCCAGCCATCTCGCAGCGGCACTAAACCCCGATTTTACCTGCCGCCTTGCCGCCGTATCAGTTGCTTTACTGTAGGACTAGACACATATGCGGGAGAGGGAAGCATCCAAGCACTTTCTGCCACGATAGCTATGTTTTCAAAATAAAAGTACCCCGGTGTTTGTATTATTTTCATTAAGAAATTGCTCGCCTAAGTTGATTATGTAAAAATTCGGTGGGCATTTTTTAAAAACACATTTTATTTTACAGTACTGCAATTGTTGTTGGTAGGAAAAAAAGAATGTATATATTTTTACTTTTAACACGGCTCGCCGCTTGCTGTCGTAGTTCTGAAATAAGAAAAACCTTTGCGCCGTTTTTAAGTAACTGTTAGCAGTGTACGTGGTTCTACGCGTGCGCGTTGTAGTGTATATTTTTGGTTGAAAACCCTGATTTTAAGTTTTTATTGGCGCTTAATTTACAAAATGACAACCTGCTAAAAACTGAAGAAGAAAAAAACAACAACATTTACACAGACATTGGGACCATCACACTCTCAACCAAGGACCTCAGTACAAAAGTTGGCGTGCCCACCTGTTTTGCGTAATATCATATACAGATGTGTGTGTAACTTAGGTTGTTAGATTCTTCAAACAGCATAATTTCAACATTGACGAACCTGGCCCAGAAGTTCAGTCATTTTCTAGTGAAACCATTGGCGTTATAACCTATATGTAAATTATTATTATTATTATTATTTGCATTTGCCTTACTGTTTGTGTTTGTTTTTTGGACCATGTGTGTCCTTAATAAAAGCTTTGATGATGATGATGAATATTATATAACAATATTTTTCTTTACCAGATTTGGACCCAGATTAGGCTATTGTAGGGGATCAAAAGTATTTCAGATGAATAGCGATCCTAAAGCCACAAAAAAGATGGTTTTATTAGACGATCATTTTTTTATGTATTTTTATGACATATCACTCAAACATAGTAGTGCATATAATAAAAAAGACAAACTACTGTTTTGACTACACAAAAGTCAACTTACAATTTAAATTAGTACATTTTTTCAACATTGTCTTAATGTCATTATCATTTGTAAAACTGAAATTCATTTTCTAATTGTACATTCATTTTCTTTTTTTAGTGGTTTGCCCAAGTAAGGTGGCAATGTCTTATACAGCAGGCCTTCACAGCTAAGCTGGTCTGACAGATGGAATGCTTCTGCAGACACCGGAGCCTTTGAAAACGAGATCTCAGATTATGGATGGAACCTTGCACCACTGCAAGACATGACTGCACTTTCCAATTATAAAGTAGTACTTTTTTCTGCCCGACTTTTCCATAATCGGGGAACGGGGTCAGGAAGTGCTCTGAAAGTGGGAAGGTAGAATCACCTATGATGTGCTTGCCATAGGAGAGCCACGGGGTCTTCCTGCAATGCTTTGCCAATCACCGTAGCTAACAGTAGGCTACTCTTGAGTTATGCCAGTTACTAGAGTGCTCTGCAGTCACATAGGTAAAACGACCCTTGTGGTTGCAAAAAGCCACGAGTTTTATAGAGTACAACCCATCTGCATCTCTTTATACCTCTGGATCTGGCACATCAGTAGGCTTCTCAATAGGAATGAAACACATTCCTACTACACAAAGAGTATCTGGTAACCCCACAATAGAAAAGAAGCCCAGCGCAGACATTTCTGCTTCCTCCCTCTGAGGCCAGTGAATTTCATTGGCCAAATTGCTTTTAATAAGGAAGCAGAATTCAACCAGCTGATCACAAATGAGTGACTCTGTGCCGTGGAAGCGGTTTGCCACAGTGTGGTAAGACTCTTGGGTAGAAAGAGCCCACAGAGTAGCAAGCACAGCATGCCACACGGTCCATTCCTCTAATGGTAGTCCATTTACGGGGTGCCAGCAGCCGTACCAACTCCTACAGACACAAAAAGAAACGAACAATTTGTACAAAATACAAATGAGATTAGCAAAACGTATAGGACCAGCATTAGCTTAAGTAGGCCTACCTCAGTTTGAGTTGGCGTCAGCTGAAAGTGACTCTTAAACTCACTTATAGTCAAGCTTTGCAGTACAGTATTGAACACTTCTCTTTCTTCCTCTCTGACACGTGAAAAAGAATAATGTTAGAGCATTTGTCTAAAATTTCATTATAAAGTTGTCTTGACACTTTCTTTCATCAAATGCTGAGTGGATCGTTTTACCTTTTCACTTTAGTTTTCATTCTGTTGAAATATAAAATAATATCAAAATAATAATTTGCATCATTGGTTTTTCCCTGCTAGTTTTTTTTTTTAATAGGTTTTAGTTGCTGCTGGTCATTGGCACTATCAGGAGAAAAAAGGTACAAATACGGTCACTGGGGCACCCTAATGCACAAATCTTTTTAGAAAATAAAAAGTACATTTTTGTACCTCATTTACCCCGAAATGGCACATTATATTATCTATTGATGATATATTAATACTTTAGAAGTATATGAAGAGTTCAGATGCAAAAGCCTCTAAGTGCCATTTGAAATTTTCTTCTAGAATGATCATTTTTATCAAGCTTGTATATTTAAGTTCAGTGATTTCACTTAAATGGCAATGATAATTACCTATTAATTGTTATTTAAGTGAAATTACTGAACTTAAATATACAAGTTTGATAAAAATCACCATTAAAGAAAAAAATTTCAAATGGCATTTAGAGGCTTTTGCATCTGAACTCTTCATATATTAGTATGTTAAAATGTACATATTACACCTACTGGCCCAGACTCAGGTAAACTCCGCTTTTGTTCATGTCCACAGTTTAAGCCCTAGCTGGCCCGCTTTCGACCAAGATATTCGGTGGGCCAAAAACCCCTGGCACGATCAATCCCCGTAAGTGCCGGAGGAAAACGCAACTGTTCCTCCTGGCACGCACTAACACTAGCTTTTTGCCATAGCTTTTTTCCAGACAATGGTTGGTTATGCGGCTACTGGTGCAATGCCGCCCTCTTATGGCAAATCCATATATATGTGATGGATTGAGGCTATTCCTTCCGAATGCGATTGATTGTCTTCAGTGAATATTGCGGTCAAACCAATCAACTAGGCTGAAAATATCTTAAAGCAGCCCAAGATATAGGCCTATGTTTCATCTGGTTTAAGTTGGTCGCCGGCATGGCCAATCAGGTATTCCCCTCTAGTTTAGCTGGTTTAAATGCTAAAACCAAATAATCTAACCAGTCTAAAAAACAACTTAGTCTGGCTGGCTACAGTTTGTTAAATCAGTGATGGCATAAAAACATGTCTCAATCTAGCCTATTAATTCATAATCAAAGTGTGCCTTAATATCATATTCCATCGGTAGATGGCACCAGAGTACAATCTGATTTATTTATGATGCATCGCCATGTAATATACATGGTCTCCGTATGGTTCAATGGTTTAACTGTTAATAAATTCCACATTATTTACAAAAAAAAAAAAACCCATCAAGTGTCTCTGTCTGTGCTGATATGATATGAGAGACGAGAAGTGATCATGCTCAAACCCTCCTCAATAACCTTTGCCATTTCTTCTTCAATCCCATTGACCTGAATGATGATAGCAGCACAAAATAACAAATAAGAGCTACAGTGATGAGACTGCTTACTTCAGACATGAGAGATGCTCTTACCGTCCTGCGTTAATCAGACAGAGTTAAATATGCAGGGAGTAATTGTGCAGGTCACAACCCTCATCTTAATTTACACATTATTAAATAGAGGTTATGCCTTTATAAGGCCATAAATCTGTAGAGAAATCAACCATAACAAGTAGCATGACAATTAAGAAATTAATTTTTAGTTTCATGCCCAAATGTATTATGCAAATTTTCTTTACAGTCATGGTTATTTTAACACTTTTACAGTTATAGGATCAATGGACATTCAGTAGTGGAAATTGTAAAATAAAGGTCATGTCCATAAATATTTAATAATTGTGTTCATGGTCCCAATGCATTTGTTGGCTAATCGTTTGAAACTAAAATTTGACCTTACACAATTTATCACACACGGGACTTAATTTTAATTTATTTATTGTATCCTGTGCTTTCTGTTATGTTGTGCTGAGCTATTCAGATGCCAGACCCATTTTAGAAATCACTGATGAAGATGAAGCACCACAGTGGCCACCTATTTCCTCCCTAAAATCTTGTCTATTATTTTCCTCAAGAGGCCCTATAGCCGTCTTATCCAGCTGATGGGCAATGCACTGTACCCGGAGATGAGTGGGCAGGGGTGCCCAACAGGGTCAGATGTTTCTGCCCTTATGCCATAGCTCCTTATTCAAGAGCTCTCATTCAGCCAGACACCCCGGGTCTGTGTAAGCCTTGCCGACTGTGATCCCATTGTCTTATTAAATGAAGCTACAGGGAACAGAAGTCATCCACCTTAGGTTTCTGACACACCAATCACCATCAGCGATGTCTCCTCCAGCTGACCTCTCATGACCTTTATAATGGGGGGAAGCATTTCAGAATGATCGGCTGGAATGGAGAGCTCTGTGGCCATCAGCGGTGCTAAGTGACCACTGTGATGAAGTGATTTTATAATCATAATACCATAATCCCATGATCTTCAGACTTTGACCCCTATGAGGTCATAATGGCCCCTTTCATTCAGCAACACATGTTGGCTCTTAAGTGAGAGTTCCCGAATTATAAAGCTATATTTATTCAACAAAGCGCCATATTCAGCTTCAGCTAATTTACTAACTGACAGCTGACAGCAAGGTTTGCATAACTACCAAAGTTGCACAAAATAAGAATACCATGTGTGATGCTCGACAGAGTAGATTGGTATATGAAGGAACCAGAGGTACAAATCAGACAAGTTTAAAGACAAAAAATTGGATAAGTGAACCTAATTTGTGTTTAATTTGTATCCAAGATATTATTATTATATAATAACAGGTGTGTATTGTTATTATATTACTATTATACCAGGGTTTTATCAGCTATAGTTGATCACATGCATGATTTTTCTCAACACACTTGACATGCAATTACGCTAAATGTTGTGTTTTCCAGTCTTTTATCTAATTTGTACAAATTTTAGCTAACAAGAAACAAAATAACATATTATAATGACTCACCAGTTATCACTATCAATATCTTCATGTATTTTTCCTTCAAACTAATTTTAAGCAATATTGAGACCCTTTTAAATAATTAAAAGACAGAAACTGATGCTTTTTTTATATAACAAAATAATCAAGTTATCAAGGAATATTACATTTTTACACAAAATAATTATTTTCTAAGTCAATTCCAATTAAAGCTCCTTGGAATAGATTATGATGCTTGTAAACAAGCCAGAGGGGTGATCCATATAAATAATAATTATACAATAAACATTTTTAGAATGAAATGTCTTTTTATTAATCGAAATAAAATTACAGCTTCACAAAAAGTGAAAACATAAGACTCTTTTGTTACTACTATTTCTCCTTAAGAGCACAAAGCAATCATCAACAGACAATAATGATTCCTGATGAATCCTGATGTCAACTTTAAAACAAAATGCAGTTGGATTTCAAAGTCCCTACCGAGTTTCAGGCTTAGGGTTATTTCTTAACGGGCTCATTGCTTAAGGTCCAAAGTCACTGCTCTGATTCTTATTGGGGCAAAACGTGATTAGGGATAATCTCATACTTTCCACCAGTTTCCCCTCATCCTCTGTAGGGTTCTTGTAAGGGAAAGTAAGCTCGGGTCATGCATCTCAAAAGCTATTTCAGCGTTTGCGTCAGTTCGTCGAGCACGTGGCTATAAAATTCACCTGGTTGCTACATTTGGAAGTCGGGTCAGGAGTAATGACTTTCACCAATGCTTAACGGATTGTTAGACATTGCACTCATGAGCCGCGTATGAAAAGGCTATTTTTCCCCACGTCTTCCTGTACGATCATATGATTTGACAAATCAAGCAAAATGCGCTTATGAGGCAGTGTGATGGGCAATGGCTCGGCTCCATAAGACCAAAAAGCCAATGCGGCTTAAACGGATGTGTTGTTACGATTATTCGGCCAAGTAACTTTATCCTACATATAGATTAGCTGCTAATGACTGGGGAAACAGGTGCTTTGCAATCCAAGGAAAGTCCACATAACCATGAAAATAACGAGCCTGTCAATCCCTCCAAGGGAGGTTTTAGGAGTTAAGCACAATTAACATATTTTAATAGAGGTATGAGGAAAATAGTAGATTGAAAACTATTTCACCATCACAAAAGAATGCAAGGGGTTTTCTTATAACTTACACTTTACATCATTTAATGCTAATTTGTTCATCAAACATTTACGAACCATACAATGAGGTGAAGACTATGGCAACTCCATTGTAAAAAGCATAAAAAGCAAACAAGCACATGGTTCATCTAAAAAGCTTCATGTTGCCTCTGCCATCCTTTACTTTTCTCCTCTACTCACTGCATACACCTTTGACCCTGAATAAGAAATTTGTCACAAGACCTTTCTTTAATGCACATGGAGTGCTTCCAGAAGTGGCATCATTACCATGTAATGTGTGTGCGCGTGCATTTGTTACTACCTAGGAAAATAGAGAGTATAAAATGTATCATGCTCTCTCAAAAAAGCAGCAAAACCAGTTTCATGTAAAATACTGTATAAAGCACCCTTTTCTCTGGATCACATCTTTTTCATACCTTAAATGCAATATAATACCGTCATCCTGTCTAATAACTGAAAAGCTCACTGATCCTCTATGAAAAACAGTAAAATTATGTCTTTTGCAAAAAAAAAAAAAAGAAGCGCTGAACCTAAATCTATAGTGCAAATCACAAATTGTGCAAAACAAAAAAAAACTACTGACTTAAATAGAACAAGAGGACGTGATTCCAGCAGCTGGAGAACATCACAGTCTTTGAACTAGGATGTGCTTGGAGTCCAGGAGAAGACATGAACCCCATCCATCCATGATAAAAGTGCCTGTTGATTTAGCAGGAGAGGTGAACCAAAGATTCAGTGCTCTCTCTTCCTTGCCTCATCTCCACTCAGCTGAATTTGTCTTGGATATTCATTAGGCTGCTGCTGGACTTGGCTCTTTTGGCTGTGGATCAAGATGAAGGAATAGATTAAAACCAGACAGCAGAATATTCACTGCACAGTTTAGCCTTGAAGTCAGAGCATTAAGAACAGTTGGTGTATTACATGCTTTGAAAGATGCTAAAAGTGGTAGTCTGGGTGATCTGTGCCTGAGGCAAGTACTGTCTGCAAGTAATTGACCATGAAACCGAAAGCATGCACAGTTAACACTGTCGAACACCTCTGTCCTTTTCCTTGAACCTTCTGCAGAGACAATTTGCACAGCTAAACAAGTTACTCACGGTGTATGAGCTTGCGTTTCTTTTGTTCCGAGTGCAGGAAGCTGCTTAAGTAGAAGATGATGGGGAGGAAGAGCATGAAGCTGGACACTGCGATGACAGGCACCGTCTCTTCCCGAGGCAACGAGCAATTATAGTTTTTACTCCACAACCGCCGTGTCATGTTCATCTGAGAAGTAAGCAAGGTAATCAGTTTCACAATATCAAATAGCTCCATCTTTATCTGCTACCATTAAAGGCCCTTTCACACCGGATGCGTAACGGAAAAGCGAAACGAAAAAGCGAATAGTTCGCGTGAGAATATTTCGCGTCAAAACCATTCACATCAGCCGCGACACGAATTTGCGACGTTCAGAACTTCGACATTCCAAAACATTCGCGCCGATGAAAGCAGACCTGATTTTCATCAGAAAACGTAGGCTACTCTATACTTATTATTATAGCCTATAGGTGAATAAATATAGATTTTATGTCTTTTTGAAGTGATGTTAACATGATGCTTCAATAGGCTTAATAAAAAAAAAATCCCAATCTCTAAATAGCACATTTTCAAATAAGCACATAAGTCCATTAGGAAAGATAAAGATGAATGCGTTCTTACCGGATTCGATCAGTGCATTTTGAATTTATATTGTTTGTCTGATGATCTGGCAGCTTCGATTGGACCTTCTATTTAATTATGTGCATGTCAGTAACTCGCAGTAACTACTGGCAGGTGGAGCTCACTTTCACCAGTTCACTTTAGGTCCACAGTTGCCTGGTTCCTTGTCCACGCAGCATTCATCAGAGCAAACACTCTCTCCACGAAGAGTTTGTTTGTTTGTGATGGCTCCATTAACGTCTGTGCTGTGCATTTTCTATGTTTTCTTATTACATTATTTTAAATTGTAGAATTGTTATTTAAAGGACGATTAAATAAAAGGATGCAGACAAAAAAAATGCGGTACAGTGCTATGACTTGCGGGACGTGGCACATAGCTTCTTCATCACTATCATTATCATCCAGTGAAGACAAGCTTTTTATTTTATTTAAAAGCAGAAAAGAAGGTTTGGGGCACCCACTACCGAAGCTAGAAACATATGGCAGAAGGTGAGCTGTCCCATTCATCAGGGGCTACGTTTACATGCAATCAAATAAACACTTTTAGTAAACGTATTGAAGGCTCAAATGGACTGAAAAGCCTTGTAAACACCCGGTTGGGCTCGATACGAACGAACGAGCACAACGTCCCACCAGTCCTTGTTTCAGATATTCATTCACAGACTCGACACACAAGCAATCAGAAGGTCCGTCCGTCATTGCTGCGGTCACGTCACCTTTGTTTCCCTGTATATGATTGGCTGAAGCCTTTTCTTTCGCCTCAAAAATCGACATCGAAGCGAAAAAAATAAAAGTCGTTTTTTCGCCGCAGCAGATTCGCGTTCGGTGTGGAAGCACTCATTACACAAACAGCTGATCAAAAAATAAAACCATCGCGCGAATTATTCGCGCGTCAAAATCGCGTTCAGTGTGAAAGGGCCTTAAGGCTGAAAAACCTTTTTTCTTTGTTGGATTAGTGTGTTATATAACAATACTGCATTAGGAAGACGATTTTATCTAAAACAAATTACAATGAATTTTATCATGCATTTTTATCCATTCTGTGAGAATCAAACTGTGAGCTTGGTGTGAAATGCTACTGTTTATTAAAGGAGTAGTTCACTTTAAAAAAAAAAACTTTTGCTGATAATTTACTCACCCCCATGTCATCCAAGATGTCCATGTCATTCTTTCTTCAGTCGAAAAGAAATTAAGGTTTTTGATGAAAACATTCCAGGACTTTTCTCCATATAATGCACTTTATTGGTAACCAAATGGTTCAAGGTCAAAAAGACAGTTTCAGTGCAAATTGCAAACTGTTCGAAGGGCTTTAAACGATTCCAGACGATGAATAAGGGTCTTATCAAGCAAAACGATCGCTCATTTAATAAATAAATAACAAAGTTTAAGTTTTATAAGCTCAAATGTTCGCCTTGCTCTGTACTGTGATGCAAGTTCGTGACTCTCCTGTTCGAACTCGTTCATCAAAATGAACAAATCATTTTCCGAGTCAATTCGTTCATTTAATGAACCAAATGACACAAAAAAAGATTTCTTTAAAGCCCTTTGAACAGTTTGCACTGAAACTGTCTTTTGGACCTTGAACCATTTGGTTACCAGTAAAGTCCAGTATATGGAGAAAAATCCTGGAATGTTTTCATCAAAAACCTTACTTTCTTTTCGACTGAAGAAGAATGACATGGATATCTTGGGTGACATGGGGGTGAGTAAATTATCAGCAAAAGGTTTTTTAAAAGTGAACTACTCCTTTAAGACTGGAATACACAATATGACTTTTAAAATCGGAACACTAGGCATTAACACTTGCCGAATTTCTAAATGTTACAGAGGAAAACTAGCCGTCATAACCAGATTTTCAAAGTGTCCCAAACACGAGCTGCGTCCCAAATCAGAGGCTGCATCCTTCAAATGCAGACTACAAATGCGTCCTTCATTTCCTAGGCCACAAAGGATAGAACAAGTGGATCCTCTGCAGCTTATTTCAGGATTCATTGCGCTGGTGACGACTGGATATTTTTCAAAGAAAATGCCAGATTACACTTTTTAAATTTAAGCATTGGGTTTCAACTTACTCGAATATCTAACAATATTAATGTAAAAAAAGAAAATAAAATAAAAACTTTCCTGTTTGGAATTGAATAACAAAAAATGAAAACCAGCTCGTTTTTTTGGTTTTTTTGTTTATTTAAAAAAATGAAAAAATTGGATTTTGGCTTTCGGTTTATTGTTTCGATATTTCATTTGCACATTGCTCCTACAGTTTAGGACTAAATAATTTTTAAAATTGAATAGAAATAAAGTTTATATTTATAAATGAAAGCATGTGTAGCCAAATCAGTTCACATGAAAAGAAAGAGACAGAAAAGAGAGGAGCTACAATCATTAATATTTACAAAATTAGCAGGGTTTGGGATTAATTAAAATCAGTTGAAGAGCACAGCAAACCTTTAAGAGGTTTGAGCCATTTGAATTCTGCACAGAATGCTATACTATAAAGTGATATGGAAGAGATTAGGAGGTAACTGCAGGTTTACCAAGCTCAACGGCTCTGGCCAAGAAGTGATATAGACGAAACGCTATTGGCTATTTAAAAAAAGGGGAGGGGCTGTTTGATATGTCCCGTCCCAACTTCCATAGTATTTTTTTTCCTACAATGGAAGTCAATGTCTAACATCAACTGTCTGGTTCCCAACATTCTTCAAGATGAATGTAGGAGAGAACAGAAGAAAGAAACTCATTTAGGTTTGGAAAAACTTGAGGGTGAGTAAATGACTGAATTTTCACTTTTGGGAGAACTATCCTTTAACATCGCTCGGTTCGACCTTTCGGATTTCGAAGGTGTGGCCTTCAACTTGAGGGTCCTTTGATAGATGCAGCCTCTGAATTGGTACACAGCTACATAAACATGCAATATCTGAAGAATCAACTAGCATTGACATTGGGGCCAAATAAGTGTACAAAAGCAGTAGTGTATTCCAGACTTTAGTTTGTACAGGTGTAGGGCTATAGAGGGTGCTATTTTACAATTCTCCCAAACTTGCACATTGTAAAACTTAATTTGTTAATAACTTTTGGACTGCTTTTGTCAAATGACAGAATTTGAGTATAGTGGGTACTTACTGCATCTTCTATATCAATGCAGAGTGTATTGTTTTTCTCCATTCTACCATAGAGCTCGTTCAACCTTTTGTATGAGGATTTGCAGTCTTTGCAGAGTTCGGAGTGATTCTTCTGTTTAGAAAACAGGATACTTTCAAACTCAAGGATTTGTTTTAGCTGTGCTTATATTGATGTAAGCGAGCCATTTGATGTTACCTGATATTGCTCAAAGCAGGTGAGTGACTGATTCAGAATGGCCATGAAGTACACAGTCTCATTAGAGAGAGCCTCTTGGTCTTCAGTCAGACAATCTAATGAGGAAAAAAGTGAATTTTACACAACACAGTTTCTTCATATTTCAAGTGGTGAGAAGTATATTATCTGGTTAAAAGTGAAAATGAAAGAAACGTGCTTACGAGAAAGGATCCAGTCTAATGCCAGTTTCAATTATTGAACATTCAATGTTTCAGGTTATGTTACTTACGCTTGCATTCTGCTGATATCCAGACCTCTTCTAATTTGTTGAAGAGGGTATAGAGCAGCATCAACCTATCAGAACGCATCAGGCTGTCATGACAACTGACATTTCCAGGGCCCAGCTATGAGAAGACATAATCACACAAATTATTAAGCATTAACTTCTACATCTGCAGACCATAACTTATTTTATAATAACAGCGTTATTGCAAAATACCCACTAACCAGCATGTGTGTTAATCAAAATATACACAGTATGTACTGGCATCTTTACCTATTTATTCAGTTTAAAAAGGTGCAATAAGATGACAAATGTTATTTCACAAAGTTATTTTAAATTTAAACTTAAAATAGCTCTATAAGCTCACTAAAACATTCCAGAGTCAGTGTGAGTCAGGCTTTTTGAAACAATGAACACACACACACACACACAATCACGAGACATGAGTGCATGTGACCAGTGGTTGAGAAATATATCAAACAACCTTCAAACCATTTTTAGGCACGTTTAGTGTTATATATGGACATTTAGAGTAAATTAAACTTGCAATGAGCACTTACTTGGTCAGATGATATATTTTTATATATTTCCTCCAGACTGTTGAAGTAAGTGTAACACTTCTGACAGACTTTGACAGGTCGTGCATAAGACACCAGGCAGTTTGCGAAAGTCACGTAGCGTTCACCGTAGATATTAAGCAGTTTAATACAATACTCGTTCACTTCCAAGTCATCTGGAAACATAGATGAAAGACTGAGAGAGTAGAAGAACCCCAAACCGCTTGCCTGCGATACAGGCATGACTGCTGATGGAAGCTTTAATGCGACATCGACACTCATTTCCGATGGGTAAACCGAGCAGTTGGCAATGTTAATTAATGTAATCGCACATCCTGACAATAAGCATGATACCAAACATGTAAATTTCGTTAACAAATCCATATCTTTTAGGACTCCCAATACAGAACGCTGTTGCGTTTCCAGACTCTGCACAGCTTCCTGTTTTCTTCAAGCGGAGTCTCGATCACATGACTATGGTAAATCTCGCGATGGGCGGGATTTTAAATGACAGGTCAAGTTGAAAATAAGAGGAAATTGAGCCAGTTTCAGCAAATTCCACTTCTTTTGTGTCTATACAATTTATTGTTTAAATTAAACTATTAGCTTTATTTTATATAAAAACGATCTCATAGACAGGATCATTGCACAAGCAGGCTAGCCCCACAGAAAGAGCTGAATTAATTCAGTAGGATTTTTATTGTTATTATTATTATTGAAACCGTATCAATTTACAAACTCAAATAGGGAACAATACTATGCAGACAAAAATAACTCCATTCGTATATCTGAGACTGTGGATATGTGCATCATAGAACAAAAAAAAATTGCATAAATAGTACAATAATCAAAAGCATAATTCAAGCATTTAAGGGGGTTACAAAGTGCAAGGAAAATATAAATAAATAAATATTAGACAAAAACTAATTCAAAAGATATGCTCAGTGATCTCTGCCCATGTGTTTAACAATTTCACTTAAATGGCAATAAAGATTACCTATTAATTTTCATTTAAGTGAAATTACTGAACTTAAATTTACAAGCTTGATAAAAATGGTCATTTTAGAAGAAAATTTCAAATGGCATTTAGAGGCTTTTGCATCTGAACTCTTCAAATATATATATATATATATATATATATATATATATATATATATATATATATATATATATATATATATAACCTTTTATTTACTGCTTTTAACCTACCTACTTGGATCGGTTTTCATGCACATAAAATCTAGGCTATTTGCTTTAATTAGGCTATCACCACTAAGAATCAATTCAAGGTGAATTTTAAAATGTTCGCAGCCTCATGGAGAACAAACATTGCTTTATGAAAATCTGGAGTAAACACCTTGAATGTATTATTTTTTCATTATTTTTTTCCCTCTGTGTTTGGAGGCAGTGGATTTATGCACGCGCTGCATCCTCTCTCTTCTCGGTTTTTGACACCGCGTGCAATTTTGCGAATGTGTTAGCGCGCACGCGGCCAAAAAATAATTACGGAGTCAAGGTAAACGATCGGGGCTCCGATTCTGATTGTGTTAATTGTCGCAAACCCTCGAATCAAGCCACTGCAGTCAATGGTCTTTAATGTGAAATTAGTGCCTCTTGATAACTTGCAGTCCGCGGCAATTCTGCAGTCATGAGAGCCTGATGGAAATGGGGGACTCAGAATGCCTCGCATTAAGGGCTATTCTACTGCGTGCGCTGATGTCTGAGGGTAAATTCGCAGGTTTTATGTCGTGGGTTGTGGCATTAGCTCTCACTACTGCAGCGCTGTTATTGTGATAGCCTTAAATTGGATGATCCAAGTCACCCAAGGCAGCTGATTTCAGCGGTTTGCAAGCAGAGAGCGGTGTAGCTACAAAATCATAGCCTACCCATATATATTTTTTTTTAATCACATACATGCCCTGGAAGAAAATAATAAATAGGCTACGATTATTGATCAGTAGGAAACGAATCAGGTTTTATACAGGCAGGCCTACAATTGCCATGTGCATTAAGAACTTCATTTGAATGCACAGCGGAGACAGAGGCAATTGAGCGAGGACAAAAATCACTAATTAGGCTGCTAAGTGAAGCATCTTCATCGACTGGAGAGCTCTCAAGCAAAGGGATGAGCCTGATAGCTTGGCTTATATTTTGAAAATTATAAAAGTGCATGTGGCTCAAGAAGATTGTCCTAATGAATTCTTATAACGAAAAGCAGGTTTTCAAGAAAGATAATAATTCCATGGTCATCTGATCCTCCTCACAATCATTTGTGAAAGAAAAGGTGCCTGCATGGGATGCGATCGTGATTACATTAACCCGAGACCAATTGAGGCGTTTTAAATTCCAAAACAACATTTTGGCATTCGTGTAAAACTTTTAGATTGCAGCAACACAACTAGTAGGTTTTTCTTTATTATTATTGACAATTGATGATTTTTTAATGTGTCCAGATAAATATAGGCTAAGCCAAATCTAATTAAATGTAGCCTAAATCCAAAATTAAGTGCAATAAAAAATGGGTTCTATGGTGGTATAGGGAGCAGTTAAGGGTTAACTAAAGACTGCGCGCTTTAAGCCGTGGTCTAAACCTGGAGAAAGAGGAGCTGTAAAGTTATGCAGAAGTTATTCTCCATCCTTTGGTCCGTCCCTAATCCCCCAAAACCGCGTTCTTTTATGCAAGGACTGTGCCTCTTTTCTTGTTTTGCGTTGCCTATACAACATAAAGTCAGACTGCATTTAATGCTTATGGCGGGATGTGAGGGGGATTTTGCAAATGCGAGGCCCCTTTCGCCGAAATATTGCTCTCTAAACGTCGTGTGAGTCTTCCAACCCAAAGCGACCCCAGATTCTCCCCCCGGTGTCTGACTCGAATGACAAACCAGCCTGATTTCACTGCATCGCTGGGAAATGTTGGGACTGATAATAGAGATTTCGCTTTCATTTTTTACGGTTGACTTGGTTATTGTTGCTTTTCTTTTGCCCTGATTCCTTCCAGGGATTAGGCCTGACTTCCCCACTAGCAGCGGCCAAAGTGGCCCGAACTGTGGATGACAACTGACGAGGATCAAGGCTTGGGCTATTCTGCCCTCTGAGAGGCAATGTGAACTGAGAAGAGCTACAGGAGAAAAGCCCTTGGACAGGAGAAACGCGCTCTCAATGTTCAATGAACGGATCCCACTAAATAGCTTAGAGAGTCCTGCAGCCTAATTAATTACAGCTAACTTTCTCGTTAAAACGTGAATATCACGTGAAAACGTGGACCTCGCCAATGGTGGTCCTATAAAAAAAGAAAAAAGAAAAACAAATGAGACTTGGAATCGGATTCCTGAAACAGGCAGCATTTAAAAGAAAAGCACAGTTGCTTCAATTAAAGTAGCCTACTGTGAACACATGTCTTAATAGGCTTGATATAGTTGGAAAAAAGCTTTATAGTCATTTATTAATATTATTTGTAGTGATGTCATGACTAACAATCCTCTCAAACAATTTTTTTTAAATTATTTTTATTTTACCCCAAGTGAGGCATGGGCTGGTCTCAGATGTATATTATATGTGATTACTACAGAACTACAAAATAATTTAAAATCTGTATAGCCTTAAAAAATGTCTATGTCCCTGCTTTAATAATAAAAAAAAAAAAACTCCTATCAGCTTGGCAGTGAAAGTGGAACATGGTTTGTCACTGGCCTCCCAGGTCAATCTCAGCCCCAACCACTGTAGTCAGTTGATCCATCATTTAGATCAGTTTGGACCAGATAATGACCACAAAATGATGGTCTAGCTAGAATAAAAATGTAAAACCAGCTACTATTAAAAGGTTAACACATACTCAGCCACTTTATTAGGTACAATGCCTTAATTCTTTGTGGCATAAGTTTCTGAAAACATCAGAGATCTTGGTCTATATTTACACGATGCTGATGTGTCAGCTGCATATCCATAATGGAAATATTACGTTCCACCACATCCCAAAAGTGCTGGATTGAGATCTGGTGAGATCTTGAGTCCATTTGAGTAACGTGACCTCAATGTCACCTCATTGGCGTTAACCTGCATCAGACGATACACTGTGGTCATTAAAGGATGGACATGGTCAATAATCAGGTAAGCTGTGGCTTTTAAACAATTCTCAATTGGCACTAAGGAGCCTAATGTGCCAAGAAAATATCACCCACACCCTTAATACAAGATACCAGGAAGGATGGATCTACATGTTGTTTACGCCAAATTCTGACCCTATACTGAATATTGCAGCAGAAATCTAGACTCAACAGAACAGTCAATGTTTTTTTTTTTTTCAATCGTCAGACAGTAGTGGCACCCAATGTGGTCTTCTGCTGCTGTCAAAGTCACTTAAATCAACTTTCTTGAAGTTCACAGTTTGAACATCAGCAGAGCGTCTTGACCACATAAATGCACTGAGTTGCTGCCATCTGATTAGATATTTGCCCATGTGGGTGTACATGGGTTACTACAAAGCTCTATCTTTATGGCATATGCCATGTTAGCTGATAATAGCATTATGATTAAAGCTTATTTTAAAGAAGAGCATTCTTATTTGTTGGTAGATTTTCTATGTTTGCTGAGATTGTTGAAACATCCACTCGGTAATGAGTTGACCCACATTTGCTATCTTACTCTAAATACTTTGTGTCTCCTCAAATAGCATTTGTGATTTTGCTAATTGAATTTACTATTAAAAAATGGACTAAATTGCTGTTGCAGAACTGATTGGCAGCGCTAATCAATGACGTTTTGAGTTTGTCTCCCTCAACTAGACATGTCAGTAGAAGTTCATCTTTGTTGACGGTGTTGTGCTCTACTGTCTGCCGGCTTGGCTCACAGATCCAAGTCTCCAACAAACAGGCGGGATAATTACCAAACATGTAGCCGACGAGCTCGATACACAATGGCGCATTGACTTCCTCACTGTTGGTCGCCTCTGTGGACCGCCACGGCGAGGCCATCATTCCACGCAAGTCACCCCAGGAATCGTTCACCCGGAGCGGGAGGCAAGAACGCCTTGTTTCATAACAAGACACGATGCTGACTTCTTTCAGCTCCAGCGAACTGGACATAAAACTCTACTGACAACCTCCAGCACAGGCTGAGTGAGCTTTCTCTGGGGAAAAATACAGTTAGTTACAACAGTTTAGAGTTTACTAAGTGGATTTAAAGCGGTGGTTCAGAATTTTGGACATCGGGCCTCATTTCCAAGTTAGCATTAGTGTTATTTATCAGCAGAGACAGTTTTGAAAAATGTTAAACCAGTCGTTCCAGTTGCATAGTTCGCCGGTGCTAGGCTAGCGCGAGTCAACGGTAACTGCTAGCCTGCCATTAAAATAACATATAACAACTGTAAAGCGTCTAATTTGTAAACAAAATTATTTACGTACTAAATCCGGCATAAATTCTGGCATAATTTGCATATTTTAAAAAATCTCAAAACAGACGTCAC